TCGCGCATAGCTGGTCGAGGACCTTTATGATCGCGAGGAGGAGGTAAAACAAGCACCGTTTTCGTTCTGGGTGTAGCCCCCTCGTCCCCTCCAGAAAAGGAGCCATGATGTCCAACAGCAGATGTTGCATGATTACCACCAGCTGCAGCGAGCCCATTTCCAGCGCCGTGAATGGCAGAGGTGAACTTCGGTGTTGCTCCATAAGCAGGCGTTTGAAGCGAACCAGGTGTGTAAAGCGATCCTGGTGTGATATCCTCCACATCGCTGCCGATAGTGCCAGGATCACAGACACTCGCTATGGGAATGCTCGCCCCAATAGGACTAGACGGTGCAGCTCCTGCCGGTTGTTGTTTAGGGAAGATGGAAGAAGAGGCTACTTGGTAGGCTTGTAGTTGCTCCTGGGCCTGTTGGTTCGTTGTCGACGCGTTGCTGCTAGTGCCAGTAATGATACAACTACCTCCACTCGGAAGAGCCGGCGCGATCATTTTTTCGCAGGCTTTTTGGGCCTCCTGTTGCGAAGCATTCTGCGCCTGTGGTCCCTTAGCTTTGTCAAAAAGACCGTAGTCTATATTTCTATTTCCGGAGGCGCTGTTCTTCATACTAGTACCTACGGATGGTGCGGCTCCTCTTCGATCGGCCTCATTTTCTTTCGCCGTAGGTGCAAGTAGTGCAAGAGAACCATGTTGTTGCTCAAGAGTCGCCCCGCCCTGAACCATCTTCATAACGCCACTAGTTGCGTCTCTCTTGTTAGAGGTTACAAAAGTACACTCCTTAGATGAACATCCCTGACCTATTTCCCTACTGGAAAAAGAGTCAGGGACCACGCTAGTGAAGGATGTACTAAAACTAATGTGGGAAGAACCCTTAATGTTGCCCATCTTGTTTTATTAATGTGGGAACCCTTAATGTTGGCATTCTTATGCTGATCTTCCATGTTGAGTGAAGAAAACGACGAGTTCATACCTCCTCCAATTGCGAGCAAGGCCTGTTCATCTAAGGACCCAGAGTATCCGCGTCTCCCACTCGAAAACGGAGTGGCTGCAGTCCCAATAGCAGGTGAAGCAGAAGGTGAAGCAGAAGCACCTTTATTGACAAAATTAGAGCTACCGCGTCGCATCCGGTTCTGGCCCATCCCGCAGCCCTTTTTCCCCTTGAAAAAGAGGCCAAGGGTTTAGGGTTTAGGATGCGCGGTTTGCGGTAGGAGCCTTAACAAAAACCTGGCAGCTGTTATGCTGGTTATCCTGATCTTCTCGTCCTGTACTACTAGCTGCACCTGATGTTCTTGGGGAAGCAATGTTCTGAATATCTGGATCTGCAGCAGGAGGAAAATCTTCCGATTCTTCATTACAACCCAGAAAAAGACTAGAAGCAGCCAAGGCCTTGATGACACTTTCCGATGCTGAAACTCCTGAACTAGTGGCGCTCATCGCAGTAGAATCACTGTGCTGCTGATGATCTTGTGTCGTCGTTGAAGTGCCACCTGTAGTCCGATTTTCTGGCTCTAGAACTACTGCTTTCCTCTCATTCATTTCCTCTGATAGATCGGCTTGCACTTGCTCCACGGGTGCCGCGGCTTTCATCTCTACATCTTGATACTCTCTTTCTTTCATGGAAGTCGTGGTCGTCGTCGTTCCTTCTACTCTAGAAGTAGAAGCAGCCGTGGCCTCGTTAAGCCTTCTCCATGGAGGCTCTTTGCGTGAACGCTTCCTGGACGGCTCTCCCGTAGTCTCAGCTTCTTCTTTCTCCTTCATCTTCTCTCTTGTAGTTGTACTAGCGCCGGTCGAGGGCTTTTTATCGTCGTTCTTGCTCGAGAATGATGATGTTTTGCCAAACGCAGTAGATGTAGATGAAGTTGGTGCTACGGCGCCTCCTGCAGTGTCGAGGTTTTCTTGATCTCTATGGTGCGTTCTCGACTTCGAGTTCGACGTCTCTCCGCGATGACCATGATCTTGTTCCTTCGTTTCCGTAGGAGGTTCCGATAACAGAACATCAGCAAGAAAAACGTTAGACATGCTGCTCATCTCCTCGCCTCCAACTTGCCAGATGTCGTCCACTTTCCTTCGCTTGCGCTTAAATTTCAATCGATAAGGTTCCTTCTTGGGCTTAGTATTAGAAGGGTAGGGAATTCATCTCAAGGATCATCTGGGTGCCATTTTCCTCTTGTCTTTCTCTCTCTCTCAGATGACTCATTTGGAGATGATGAACTCCTTACACCCATAATAGTAGCTGCCGCCGTTGTGGGTGTTGTGGTTGCACTAGTAGCTGTTGTGGTTGCACTAGCTGTTGGCGTTGTGCTGGCTGTTGTGGTTGCAGCTCTGTCTCGAGGTGAAGATGTACGTCCTCCCAGAGGCGAAGAAGATGCGAGTCTAGAACTGGCTTTTTTTCTACTCGCAGGTCGTTCCGGAGGTGCCGGTAGCCACGATACACGCGGATCGTCCGTGAGGGCTAAGCATGTGGACTTGGATTCTGTTGACAGCAAAGTAGATGCTGCTGTCGTTGCTGTCCTCTGGACTGCTAGTAAATAGCAAGGTTGCCCCAGTCTCGATGGATCCGAGGACAAACCACGCGCAAAGCAAACCTTATCAGCACGATCGAGAACAAGAGGACTGCTCTTGGTACAACTTTTGCTCTTACCTGCTAGACAAAGCTGCAAGACAAAGCTTCCCTCCGCGCGTGCGAGCGTCTGAGCGCGTGTGCCCGGCAATAGCTTTGCCTGCTGAAAGTCTTGCCACACAGATTCGAAAGATTTACTATTGTTCCTGCAAGTTGATGGAACTGTGCCACTGCCTGTGCCACATGAAGACTGCTTTACCTTGTCCATATTTCCGATTCCGACAACTCCAATTTGCTTGACCATCAAATGTTCCGGACTCAATTTTAGTTTCCATTGGCCAAGTGCTAGCAGATAGGAGTGGACGGCGTAGGGAACGTGATGAACTTGTAAGTTTTCAGATGAGTAGTTGTTTTCGTTTTTGTGGTCATTCTGCTCCAGGATTTTCTGCGTCATGTTGGCGCCGTCGCGTACAGCCAGTTGCCCACTTGCTGCGGCAAATCTGTCTGCAGCTGTCCTTTCTAAACTGAATACATTAGTACAACTACGGGCGCACTTTTTTGTGGCAACATTGGCATAGGCTTTCTTTCCTCGTCGAGCCCTCGCCTCCGCCAAACTAGGTATACCAGTCCCATCCTTCGCCTTGTCATGAAAGATCAAAATATTTCTGAGTTCCTGCTGAATGAAACGCGAGACACTGCGCTGATCTAGAGCATCCAGGGAACAAGCTAATGGAGGAGGTGATGTGCCACTGCCAGTTCCAGCAGAAGTTTTTAGGTTTACTAGGTTCGTCGTCTTTGGGTTCGTCAACAAAGACCCGAGTTCTTGATTCACACGAACACGCAATTTCTCCATGACCATTGACAATGGCAGCAGGTCCTCAGCAGGTGTAAGCATCCGGAATAGGGGAGTGTTTGCGAGCGAAGAGGACTGTTCGCGACCTGAATGTAGGTTTTTGGAAGACGGCACCAACGTCGTGGTGGTCTTAGCCGTAGTTGTAGTTGTAGCTGTCTTGCCGGCAGTACTCTTGGTGTTCGCAGCGGAGGAAGATAAAAATTGCTTGTTGTTGTTTGTGCTGACTGTTGTTGTCGAACCAAGTGAACCTGATCGAGCTTGTTGCTGAGCTACTTGAGACCCTGGCGCACTGCCAGAGACCTCCAAAGAAGGTCGTGCTTCAAATGCTTGGTCTAACACCTCAAAGTGACCTCCTGGCTCGGACGTTGCACGCGAAAGAACGCTCTCCCATAATGGTAAGACTGGAATTCGAATAATAGATTCGGTTTCGGCTTCGAAAAAAGTTACATATTGCTTCCGTCCCCTTCTAACGACTTGAAAAAATCGCTCTTCAATCTCTTCGACATCAAATCCTTCACTACTTCGTTCGTCAGCAGAAGAAGCACCTTGAAGTTGTTGTCGTTGTTCTCCATCTCCATCGGCTATATTTTCCTCATCTTTACTGGCGTCGTTACGTTCTCCTTCATCTGCTTCTTCGTCTTCTTGCTGTTCCATCTCATTTCCTCTTCTTGTGATTTTCTTCGAAGAATCTGATCCCGCACCATTCGAATTGTCGGAATCTTCAACATCTGACTCACTGGTGTTCTTATCATTCTCTGCTCGAGCAGGTGCGCGGATTCTCACATCGCGATCCATGTTCTTGTCTACTCCCTTATCGCGGTCATCTCCACTCTTGCTTTTGCTCTCCTTTTTACGCTTACTCTGACTCTTCTTGGAGCTGGCACTGCATCTACTAGCACTTCTGCTCTTGCTCTTCTTCATCTTGTTTCCTACACTTCTACTAGCCTTACTTCTGCTTTTGCTTTTGGAAGATGCTGCTCTTGTGCTTTTGCAACTTTTAGACCCTTTGTTCCTGGGACGTCTAGACGGTGAATCCTCAGAAGACTCAGAGTCAGAAGAGCTACTACTTGATGAGTCGGATGAACTAGTGCTAGAACTGTCCTCAGACTCCGACGTTGAAAATTCGTACCGCTTTTCTGGATATAGCTGGTCTGAGTACATGCGGTTCTCTGGAATTTTGATGACTTGTTCCCCTGTGTTTTTGCTGGTCTTTTTCGTGATACTCTTGCCCGGATGTACTTGGTCTTCAGCTTTATTCACGCGGCCGTTTCTGGTACGGTGCCACTCCTTTTCTCCTGACGGGGAACGCCGTTGAGTTTTTTTCACTGGTTCGGAAGCGACTGGGCTGCTGCGTCCTCGAGTGCTATTCTCCTTTGCGCCAATATTCTTTGCGCCCACCTCAGTAGAGGTTTTAGGTGGAGGAAGAACTCGGGGCTTCACGTCCTTTTCCTCTTCGTCAGAACTGGACGAGGCAGCTAATTTTTTTGCCGGTTGTGCTCGCCTTTTAGGCGGTAAAATCTTCCGACCAATAACCGCTCCGCCTTTGCCCACTCCCTTTTTTTGATTTTTGTCGCGATGCTTGTCTCGATTCTTGCCCTTATCGTGATCCGAAGTCTGCTCTTCACCTCCGGACAGCAGTGCTGCACCCTTATTTTGAAAACTGTTGTTGCTCCTACTTGGTTTATCTCTATTTCTATCTCTTGCAGCAACTGGTGTCGTGGAGTGGGAGGTAGTAGAATTCCTTCTATCACTTTTCCTCGGTGTACTATCATCCTCGTCGTCATCTTCTCCTATCGCTTTTCGTCCTACTGCCGCTCGTCCGCCTTGTCCTGCACGACGACGTCCCTCCAAACTACTCGTGCTGTTGCTTGTTTTACCTTGTTTCTTCTTACAGTTCTTGTTGACTACCTTGAGCTCTAGATCATCGTTAACGCCGTTGCGGTTGGCGAAGAACGACGAGAAAACGTCATCCCCTGCACTTGTTTTCTTTTCCTCCTCCATTTTTACATCCTCCTCAAAAGACACGACTCGGCCTTTCTTTGTCCCCTTACTGCGCGAAGGACGCCTACTAGTGCTACAGCTACTTTCTTCCACCATCTCGACATCTTGATCTCGCCTGTCCTCCTTGTTCTCCTCGTCATTGTCTTTGTCATCTACTGTCTGGGTCATCACCTCTTCTTGCTCTCCATCGCCTTCTGCGGCATCTTTTGAGTCCTCCTCTTCCTCTGAGTCATCGTCGTCTAACAAATCGTCTGTATCTACGTCGTCATCCTCCCCAATGGCACTAGAACTAGTACACGAAGCTTCTCCATCCTCTCGTCCAGCTCCTCGTTCTCCATCGCGTTCTGGATCGTCCTCTTTTCCTCGTAGTTGTTCAAACAATTCAGTGGGTGTCCAATGATATCTCTTCTTCATCATAAGGCTGATCATCGCAGTGAAATCTTCGGCCAATAGGTCAGCCCGTTGTTGCAAAGTGGACCACGTTTTCTTAGAAGTCGCAGTGGTGGGTGAAGAGGTAGTTTTCTTATCCTTGTATTCTTCTCCCTCCCTCTCGTCTTCTTTCTTGTCTTCCTTATCTGATTGACCATCTATTTCCCTATCATCCACTCGGGATCCTTCGAGCTCCTCCGAATCTTCTTTGATAGTATCCAACTTGTTGTTAGTTGTACTTGTAGTGCGCTGCTGCTCTTCTTTCATATTATTACCCCCGGCTGCAGCATCTGTTATAGCTCCTTCCGCCTGATCTTCCTCGCGGCCTTTCTTTCCTGCAGCTCCTGCAACATCAACGTCATCCATTAAAACTCGTTCGAATCGTCTAGGTGTCACGAAGTCCCCTCTGCCAGTGCTATTTTTCAGCATAATCTGATCTGGCGGCAAACATCGCCAAGACAAGGGCTCGCCATTCACGGCTAAAATAGCGTCGCCTTTCCGCAAATGCTTTCGGAAAATCGATCTTGGATGTACGTACTTCACGAGTAAGCTGACGGGAGGATACTCGAAGTCCTGTTCTTTCGTTGCACTAGATGAAGTCCTATTCTTTTTGTCTCCTGTTCTTGTAGCTCGAAAAGCACTAGGTGGACCGACAACGACTCCTAGAGACGACCCGAAAAGCTTGTAATTTGCAGCAACCTCTTTGTGCGATGTCTTGATGTGGCGGACGAGTGTTTTCACCGTGGTTGTTCTTGTTCGAGAGTTTTTTGTAGTACAACAGTGCTTATGTGCAGCTCCGGATTTCTTCCCTACCAAACGCTGACGCAAAACGGTAAAACTCATCTCCAAGACTTCTCCTTCCTGCCATTCCCGACGTACTCTTTCCACAATCGCAGTGCACTTTTTTTGACTGCGAGTAGCATGTTCTTCCAAGGAACAAGATGGACTAGAAGATTTGATGTGAAAAGTCTGAACTACTCTCGCTCCCGGACCGTGAAGATCCTCCAATGCTAGGACCGTGGGTGGGGGTATGTACATGACTTTTCGCACTCCACCCGAGAAATTAGTAGAAGTTGTGCTAGTTGTAGAGGCAGTGCTTGAAGATGTTGTAGGAGGTGCTGGAGCTCTGATTCTGATAGCCAACATGTGGTTGTACGAGGGTTCCGGATTTTCTCGTCCACTACCGCTCGTAGTACAACTACAACCACTAATCGATGGTGTTCTTGTAGTTAAGGATTTAAAAGATTCCTGTTGTACTTTAGTCAAGACTACTAAGGTTTCTATTTGGCTCAGCACAAGTTTCTCCAATCTTTCTACCCTTGGCCGGATATCCTCGGAGAAGCAGAAGAATTCCCGGCTTTGGTCGTATTTTTCAAGCTTCGAGGCATGCACGCCTTGACTCCCCGCAGGTGGCGGCAGTTCAATCTTCAATTGTTCCTTTTCCCGTTCTTGTCTGCGACTTCGTGAGAAACTTCTTCTGGCACATTCTTCCCGCTGCGGTCTTCTAGAAGCTCTTGTAGAGGGACTCCTCCTTCGCCTCTGAGACGTTCCCTTATTTCTTTGACTAGGTTTTACTGGGAGGCCAATATTCACTGTCTTGATAATTCTGGTCGACGTCTCAGAGATGGTCGTAGTAGTAGTAGCAGTGGTAGTAGACTTAGAGGTAGGTTTTTGGTGCTCGCTTACCCCGCTTTTTATGCCTTTCTCCCTTAGGAGAGGCATAAAAAACGGTAAGAAAAGCACCTTTAACCTACCCTTAATAGACGTACAACGTTGTCCAGCAGTACGTCCAGCGGATCGCTCGCGACTTCGTGAGCCTCGTTCGACCTTAGATACTCTTTATAATTACCCTTGGAGGAGATCCTGGCTTCTTTTTCAACTAAATAGAAAAGGAAGAAGCAAGGATCACTATGTAGGAGAATGCATGTACCTACACTGGGGGCCTTAATATCTCGATCTTCAACGTCTCGTTTTCTGCTCTTCAACCGTCTACCCCTTGAGGCAGAGCCTTTCCTTGCAACTGCAGTTGTACTCGTCGCTCTTCGAGCTTCACTCTTAGCCATATCTCCGTATGATCTGCTTGCTGTGGTGCTGGTTGCCGTAGTATACCTACTGGTAGTAGTCGTAGTCGTCGCTGACCTCCCAGCACGTCGAGTTCGACTACTACTTCGACGTTCCTCTTTTGATATCGAGGTTAAAGAAGCATTGGTGTTGTAAAATCTAGCAGGCTTGTTCGTCTTGCGATCTTCTTAGAGCTGGGGTTCCACCACGTTGGGGACAGCTTCCCTCAGAGCAGGGGAAGAGGTCATTTAACGTTATCGATTCTAGAAAAGCTACGCTGATACAACTAAGAATGCTCTCTCTTGTAATTGCCTTAATCTTCGTTCGACTCCTGCTGTCTGGGAGGTTTCTCATTCTCCTTGTCATCATGGTCATCGGCAAAACGCGAACTTTTTTCAGCAAACCGAGACTCAGCAAAGCGAGACTTCTGATCTGCAGAATGATCTGCAGAGTAGTAGCGAGATGATGACTTGTCCTCGATTCTTAGCGAAGCAAGTGCAAGCAACATGTGCTGTAAAGCCTACCTAATATGCATGTGTAAAGGACGTCACTGCAACTACAGACATTGCAGTTCATAATATTATATATAAGTGTAAAAACTGGACCTATGATGATGAAAGCATTAGGTCGTCGTCACCTCACTTATACGTAATCCAGAGGAATAAGAAAAAAAAACTACCTACTATTTTCCTTACCACGAGAAAACAACTAAATCCATATCCAATCATAAACCAGTGTCCCTTGGCCTATGATCTTTGTTGCCACTGTGGTCTTTGGGCCTTTCACCTTGTTCATTCACCTTGTTTCTACGACCATCACGCTCAGTCCCTTGACGACGGCCCGAGCGACCTCGTCTGGAACGATCGTCGTCACCATCCTGAAGCTCTTCCCCTCTATTACTATCAATACCACGCTCTCCTCGTTCTCGTTTTCTGCCTCTGTTACTATCAATATCACGTTGCTGCTCGCGCTGAGTGACCTCGTACGCCCAAAGAGGAGACAGGTACGTCGATCGAGTCTCCGTTTCATCCTGACGACCAGCCTGGGTCAAAATCTTCTCCGCTCTCAATTCCCTCACCGCATCTTGCCGGATCGTGTTCATTGTGTTTGCTATTAGAAATGCGAAACATCAAAGAGTCAAAGAGTCAACATCTCAATTCTAGTACTGATCGACGAGGAATAGCAGGAATTTTAAACAAATAGTTCCATTTGAACTGCAGCATCAAGTGCCACAGTTGTACAAGGTTCAGGGTTCATGGCATAAGTCCAACATCCTCCCGACGTCAGTTACTGCAGTCCGCAAGCTGTCACGCATCCCAAGCTGTTTATTTCGATTTATTTTTGTTGTTGTTAAATGATGACGTGAAAATGATCTCTGTTCTTAATTTTCGTTAGCTGTTAAATTCCACAAAAAAAGATTACATTTGATCGTCACTTATTGTAAAAACCAAAACAACAAACAAGAAAAGCAACTGACCTACAACGTTCTAGTTCTAGCTTAAATAAAAAAAGCACCTCACCTACATCAACAATTATGGTCTAAACCTAGATGAAGAATAACTTTAACAAAGTTGAGAAGTACAAGTTTCTGTCGATAATCTTCGATCCTCTCAAGTTCCTCGTTGGTCAGCAAGAGGCGTAATTCTCCCAAATTAAACAAATCCAGCAGCTTCCGTTCGAGTTTCAGGACTTTCTGTAGCGCCTCTTCCGGCTCAGGCAGGGTCCCGAATGCCGGCAAAGTGGAAGTGGTGGAAAAATTAGAAAGATACTCTCTAAAGTGGAAGATACTCTACCTCACAAGCTGAACGAGTCTTCCATGTACTACAACTAGCCTTCCTTCTTGAGCGCAAGAATCTATTACAACCGTGGAACAAGTGGTGGAAGGATTAAAGAATATTAAGTGGTACTCTTCAGCGATCTATTACAACCGTGGAACAAGTGGTGGAAGGAAGATTAAAGAATAAGTAGTACAACGGGTCACAAGAACTAGTCTACCTCGCACAACCCATGCACAATTATGCGTACAGCTACAACATGCTAACTTCTGGTCCTCTTCTAGAATAAGTAATACGCGGATACAAGATCAAGATCACTCCATCAACTACTCCAATACGCGAACCCTGGATAACCGTCAACTTGAAAAGGACACTCGATGGAGATTAAGAAGTACGTAGGCACTTATGAGTGTCTAATGTGAAAAGACTTCCTTTAGCGTCATAAAATTCACATCACACGCCAACTTCGCGACATCGATCAAGGCCAGCCTGCTGATGCGGCTCAGCAGATACTGCTTCACTTTGACGTGGTAGGTGCTTTTCTTCTCTTCAAATACTGGATCCGGCAAATTCAAAGCCTTATACGCGGAGCGCAAACGGGCGAGGGCAGCGAGCTGGTTTAGTTTGGTGGAGTTGGTGTGATGAAAATTTTCATTTTCTTAATGAAGGAACCAGAATACTAGGCTCTTTAATGGTCTGTGTATGCTCGTTCTTCCAGTTCATGCTTCTCGAGTATGCCACAACACCTTCATGCCATAAATTGACTTTCTACTCTACAAGTACCTCAATATGCCGTCAAAATCTATCTAATTCTCAATCTGATTTTACCTCTTTCTCATTTGTTGCTACATCGACCTCAGCGCCACGGTCTCCCTCGGTTTCCGAAAACGCTATTAGACACCGCTGCAGAGCGTAAACACGGTCATGCCCCATGTAGGTCAAGCCGAAACAGACCAAGGGACTGCTCATCAAATCCACGGCGTCAGCACTCCACCAAGGGCAAAACACAGTAGTGATTAGAAGAATAATGTAAGTACAAAAACCTACATACGGCCTCCTACTGTGATGTTGTATGACCACATCTTACTAGAAGAAGTTTTATAGCTACTGGACCTGTATACTCTACAACAAACAGTTGAAGATACCTGATTCGATCCCCACCTCCACGGAGTAATTATTTCCTCATATTTTCCTTCATTACTTAGACTTAGTTTGGGTAGAAAAACAGCGAAATAACTTCAACAATTGTGGCAATCGAAACCGCATTTCAGGTGGGGCTAAGCGCCACAGAAGTTCCAAACTACGCTCTAAAAAATCCGCTTTCTCAGCCGACCCCCAGTCCATTGGGGGGAGAGGTACTACAAAATTCTCCTCCTGCTTCGACTCCGGCTCCTCTTGATTTAGAGTCTGCGACTCGATTGTTGCATCTCGGAGATCCCTCATCTTGACCCCTTTACTACCCTTGTATCATTTCATAGGAATAATACAGGGGAACAAAATAAGGGTACCGAGATGCCGAGAAAGATGGACAGTAAATGTTGACCTTAATGGAAAATGTCCAGTACTACTACTAGCTTCGTTCTGGTTATGAGAAGCTGTTGGATCCCGTTTATCAACGTCTTTCGAAGGAGCATCTGTTGCCGAAACAACAAACGAGAGAGTCACATCTTTACCATCTTTACCATTGGTCCCTTCCCTCGGGGTTTGCTCGTCCAAACTATTGCTAGATCCGCTTCTAAACCTCAACCTGGCATCTCCTCCGACAGGGGTATCATTTTCTTTTTCAGTTGACTTTTCCCGTATCTTAGAGCTCAACAAAGCAATTCGGTTCTTCTTGCCTACATTACATTTCTCCCTAGTACTAATACTGGAAAGGAAACAAATTATAGGGAGTTTCATCTCCCAATCGTCCTCAGAACGAAATCATACCACCTAGGGAGAAATCAAACGAATAAATAAGAAAAGACTTTTGTAGAATGTATTTACGAAGAAATCAAATACCTTTGTAGAAATGACAATGAATTGCATTAAGCCTTAAGTATAGCTAACGGCTGCTGCTCCTGCTCTTTGCTAGAGCTCTTATTTCTAGAGGAGATCCACCCATCTGGAGAGTCGTCCTCGTCTTTAATGCCATCACCCTTCATATTAGCGACTGTAATGCAGAAGACTGCTCTTATCTACTTGGTACTTGACTTCTATGTCTGCTCAGAAGTCACCTCCCTTGTCTTCTATGTCTAGTATTGGGGACGTAACTTCACCCTTGCATCACATTTCTATTGGGGAAGGGTACCAAGATGATCTTGGTAACTTCACCCTTGTACTCTATTGCGGAAGGCGGGTACTACCAAGATGAAGATAGTATCGTAGTAGGCTGAAGACACGCTGACCATAATCTTAGAGAAGCCAGATGTCCCAGATGGCAGCACTTTTCGACCTGCCTTTCGATGTATCATGATACCGATAGTCTTCAACTTGTCGGACTTCGGCAGATGCCTTTGCGGGATCTTGTCTGCGTCTTGTATGTGGGGAAAGAAATTAGAACACCTGTATGTGGGGAGAGAAATTAGTTATTCAATAACATAAGTAGATGCTAAACTATGGTTTGTAGATGTTGATGACCTTTCTCATTTCTACTTCACAAACATGAATTAGAAACCACTAGATGGCGTGTAGAGGAATCTAGTAAATATTATGCGATAGTAGAGAAAGCTAGTACATATTATGCGGCAGTAGAGGAAGCTAGTACATATTATGCGGCAGTAGAGGAAGCTAGTACATATTATGCGGCAGTAGAGGAAGCTAGTACATATTATGCGGCAGTAGAGGAAGCTAGTACATATTATGCGGCAGTAGAGGAAGCTAGTACATATTATGCGGCAGTAGAGGAAGCTAGTACATATTATGCGGCAGTAGAGGAAGCAGAACTGGACAAACCCCTGATGTTGTCTGGGATTGTCCAACCACATACATTGACTCTTCTACGGACCACTATTTCATTACTGCAGAATTGGGAAGCGATATATTACAACCAGCTAAGCAATTACTCACAGCTAGCGTTCATAACTTTCGACAACGGTGCAGCCCGTTCGGTGAAGTCGTCGAGGATTTCGTTTAAGCGTTTCTCCAGTCCCCCTTTCCTCTTCGGTCGAATGCCACACCGCTTGGAAAATGCTTGCACAAAAAAAGCGTCCAGAGTTGTTGTCGTTTGTTGCTTCTGTAGTGACAAAGGACTTAGTTTCTTAGAACTAGTCTTGTTCAGTTCGCGACTATCAGAACCACCGCAATAAGCGTCCACGAAATCGGAAAAACTAAGGCAAGCATTGTCAGTGCCCGTCTGAAACAGCGGTCGATGTGCGGAAACGGCCAGGCTTAGGACGCCTGCTGGTTGCTGTAATTTGTGTTGAAGGTGGACATTGTTAGGAATGCTCTTGACGAGGGCGGACAGCTTCTGCGCATTTTTGCCCAGGGGATCCTTCTGAGCGTTTTTGCGTGACTCGGATAGCTCTCTTTTCTTCAATGCAGCTGGAAGCATGAACATGGGGAATCAAATGATTATATACTCGAATATCACGGGTAAATAGTATAATGTTGTAGCAAGACTAGTACTTACGTGGAGGTCAATGAAGTACTGAAGAATTTTCAGTGACGTCGATACTGAGACATGACCGTTGAACAAAAATTGAATTACTCAGTTACGTGAGCCTGATTGCGCTTCTAGTACATAAACCCTTCAAACAAACGAAAGAATCAAATTTCTTATCCTTTCATCATCATAACATCCTGCAGAGCTGCTCTCTTCGCGGCTCTTCGTTGCTGACTTGCCAGCATGCTCTTCGCGCCAGCGATACCCGCTGCAAAATGTAACGCTTCAGTCCGTGGACGGAACAACTGTTCTGGCATAGAGGGTAAGCCGGAACGGCCAGCACGAAGCTTGTCGCGAAGCGCAGGAAGTTGGGAGAAATGAAAGAGTGGGTCCTATAAGGAGATAATGACTATCAGAACACGATCTATTTCTCTGTTGACAGGTTAGAATCTTTCCAGTAGAACTAGGTGGCCTCCTTATCTTCAACATGATCATTGTCTGTCAAGTTGAAGATATAAGGATAAGTCGGCAAGTTCCTGCGCCATGTCATGTCATGTCATGTGCCCTTGTTTACCACATGGTCAAGTGGATATGAATTTTTCAACAACAAGAATTTGAATTTTCCAACGAAGAGCTTGCGGTCCCCATGATCCGATTCATCAATCGTCAACACTGAAGTCACTTAGACAATCTATTTAATCGAAATCGATCCCAAGTCCACCATAACGCACAAAGTTTTGATACGACTCGACGACAGGAACAAGCTGGCTGCGGTTGGAAAAAGCTCCTGCTCTGAAGTTCGCTAACCACGTTTCCTTCCCGGCAAAACCTTTGTCCCTCCCTCTACCACGTCAGATTTTAGAGAGCTAGAATATCTTCTATCGAGAATGGTGTGGTCGTGACTCGAATAGATACTTAACACTACTAGACGCATTATCTATCACTACAAATTTACTAAGTCGTATAACTGTCTGTCACTAGAGGAATTGTTCTTGACAAATTTTGTTACGCGAAGTGCAGGCCGTTGGGTCACTTAAATCACATCGAAAAACCTTCCAGATGGACGATTTGTACGGAGAATTTGTCACCTCTTATAGCGCCATTTCTGTGTGACTTTGAAGACACACTGTCAAATAACTTGTGAGTTTGAGCGAAGTGCCGAGAGCTTAGAAGCATGTCATGTCATTTGTCTCCGATTTGACTTTCCAAATCAACTTTGTTGACACCAGACCCTACGGGAACTGTGAGTCGTTCTATCCTAAAGCTAACCCTAACACTGTCAGGTAAGCGGCCATCAGTTTCTTAACTTTGCCATCTTTCCTTCCGCCTTTCATTCCAAAGCCGAGGCGGTTCATGTAGCTTTCCGCGTCCTTGGCTCTGGTGCAGTAATCGAGACGATACTTTTCCCCTTGTAGGGTTAGAGGTGATGGCGGTGGTAGGTTGAGACAACTGAACAAAAAAACATCAAGCAGCATATATGCTTATCATAATAGTGGGATAGACCGAGGAAGACCAAAGGGTAGTTGACATTCTTTTTACAGCAAATGAAAAACAGTATATATGCTCATCATAAATATGAAGAGTCGTTGTCGCCCACGCTCCTCGATCGGTATGAAGAACTCCCATAGTCGTCAGAGCCTCGTTGGCGAGGGATGTACTCGTCATCGTCGTATGGATGGTCCCGACTGTTACCTTTTCCGTACCAGGAACTGGAGGAACCTGTTTTCAGAAGACCGCTGGACGAAGATAGTGCAGGATTCTTAGAGATCGGATGCCCACAACTCTCGGCTGCATCTCTCTGTAGCTGCCTAAAACTAGTACATCATGTAAGTATGTGCCGCGAGTCCCTGATAGCACCGTCCCTAGTGCCCGTAGAGATAAGTTCATGGCCTAATCTTTAACGCGAGAGATAGTCCATAGGGAGAGACCTAGTACATGACTCATCTGGAAAGTATGAGACAACGTCATGTAACATGGTTCATCTGGAAAGTATCCTCTATAGTACGAGTCATCTTTCATCTTGCTCAAGGAGTTTACGTATATTTATATATGACTCAGGGCCGAACGGCCCCCCCTCCCCCCCCCTGTATTGAACTGCTTTGTTTAAGTATTGCGTCGCATATATAACAATCTTTGTACGTAGTTCTCCATTAGTTAGTTATAGCAGAGGCATGCATGTAGTTCCACCAGGTCGAAGATGCCTCTCGTCCACCAGGTCCTCAAAGAACTCAAGGATGCTTACCGAGATGATAAACTACTTCTAGTACAAGAACACTTCTTAAAATTAACTTGTCTCTGCACTTCTTTGGCATGTTCCCTGGACAACCCTGTGCGGCAAGCAAAATGACGCTGTGCCAATTCGGGGTGCATATAGAAATCGCAATTCTGGGCACTTTTCTCCTCGTATTCGCCCATCAACCTTACGTCCTGCATCACAGGCATGCCATGCGACTCACAGGAGGAGAGAGATAACGTCGTCATTTTGTTGATCTTGATGTTGTTCTTCTTGTTGAACTAAATAGGTTCGTGTGTAACCATGTTGCGAAATAAAAACTACTGCTTTGTGTAAGTATTTTTACGTCGTGTGTTCTATGTTCTTATGCTAGAAACTTGCTTTAGCACTGAAGCCTCTAGGAGTCGAAGCTACATTCTCTTCCAAGCTGTCGTGTTTTTTGAGAGCGATGCATTCGAGAACAGTGTAAAGATTCATCAGAGCTCTTGACTGCCACATGACGATGTGATGATCCCAGTGCTTATTCGTTTTGGTGGATTATTTTTTGGACATGACATGTAAACGAATAAATGCAACAGACTAGAAAAGTGCAACAGAAACTGCACCATCGCTCTTCGACACGCACATCAGACACACTGGCTACCCTGAAACAAAACTATGAAATTGCCCTGAAAACAAGACAAGAAGACAAGGCTTCAATTCTCTTCTCGAACACTCAGTATCCTGATGATCGCAAATCTACTTTGCGTCCCCAAACTTCTAGAAACACTTTGACTATGATAGTCGGTGACATTCTCTGTACAGTGAAATCTTCTGTACAAAAAACGGAATGACTTCCATGTCCGTTTCCGTTCCCAGTGGTGGAGAAGAAAAAACTATAATCGCTGGCGATGTTATACACGCAGTGGTATTACTCAGTTCGTAACATCATCGGCATGGAAAAAAGAGAAACAAAAACATCCAAATACGTCGTGGTATTACTTAGTTCGTAATATCAAATTGGCATGGAAAAAAGAAAAACAGAAACATTGAACTTCGTGGAGCGCTTTTGTGCTTTTTTCTGAAGTCTACTTCACTTTCCGGATCGCGATGTGATTCTTCTGGACATCTATACTTTCCACGTCGTCATCCACCTCATACAACAGCATGCCCACCAGCACTCGCTTGAACATGATTAGAATACCATACAATACAATTGATGTCGCTTTTTTTTTATTTTTGTAGTGCGAGCGAGTTCCGATAAATCAAAACCTACAGTGCAGACTGCCATAAAGGCGTCATAGCTGGTCTACACGATGGCGCTCACGCAAAGTTTGTAAAAGCGAAGCGGTACGCACAAAGTTCAGTGCAGAATTAATCGCGAAGCGAGTATCAGTTTTCCTTTTCCTTTTCCATCTTTTTTCTCCTCTCTTTCTCACTGGCTTCAACAAGAACATGATCAGAATGCTCAGCAGTTTGCGTCTACATTAATAAGCCAGCTGCACTCTGTGAAGCGGTACCTCCCATGGAGGAGACGAGGAAACAGAGCAGAAGTAGATTCCATAACATGAATTGAGCCGTTCCCGATGTCTCGTGGCCAACCTCATCGATAGGTTGCGCATCCGACGCTGTCATCTGACTATAAGCATTATCTCCGATCAAATTGGCAAAATATCTGGCGGTCAAAAGGGTACGGAAAAAGATTATGATGCAGATATGGAATGTATGTATGATAATCTCAATACGATGTGAATAAACTACTAAGCAACCGTCCCTGTAGTTCTTCTTGAAGCTCCAAATATCTGTGGTGGAATATCAAAAAAAAAGCGCTAGGCTTAGCACAAGGTCTTGAGCCATTATTTCTGAGAAGTAAGTGGTTGAGACACTTGCCTGCTGAACCCGATTATTGAAAGTACTCGCACGAAACATTTGATCCAGACCTTCTCTATCTCTGACATGTTCTACATAAATCTATAATTGTTCTGAGTAAGTAGGAAGTTAAGAGTACACGCCCCCCGGCATGATGTCGTGCCATAGCGTTCGGAAGGTAACGATCATATCCCGATTTGAGTGCCCTTTCCCTCCATCGGCTAGAGCAATCATTAGAACTGCTCCCCACCCAAGAAACCTATTCTACTCCCATGATATATGCAATGATCATTATTAGCTACTTCTAAAATCATTGCGTATCGTCTTCGAAAAAGTGAAATAACCGATCATCACAGTGATCATCTAAGAGAGCTCTGCTTAGGAGGTGAGGTTGGAGTCTGTTAGATTGCGTCTCGGCCCCCTCATCTTGACCCCTTTTACCTTGTATTTCATGAGAATACAAAGGAAAAGGGGACCGAGATGTCGAAAAAGATGGACACTAAATGTTGACGTTACTTAGGAGGAACAAGTTACCTGCTCGTTTTACTAGGAGGGAGAACAAGTCTTAAGAGGAGTTTCTGTTTCGGTTTGGCAAGAATTGAATTCTCCAAGTGCTCCAAGAAAATCGGGTCGCCTTGCTCACCAAGATGCTCAAGTGGCTCCCCTTGCTCCCCAAGATGCTCAAAAGAATTCATCCTCGACGTTGACGCTCATCTTAGAATCCATTTAACTGTTCTACAGCGAAAAACAATTTTTACTAATATCGAAAGGTGGCAACAACATATCAGTATCACAACACTATCGCTATTCAACCTTTCATGACAACTACATATTAGACGACAAGAAATGCATCAGTGACTCAACGTTCAAGTTGTACATTTGATGCACTATGCCTACAGCCAGAAGTAGAGCTTGAGTATGGACCTCCCGCGTTCCAAAGTATTTCTTGACTATAGCATAAGTCTTGTTCCTCGCAGTGAGCTCGTGGAGTTTTTAGGAGGTGTAGATCACTGCCAAACTTGCTCCCCATTGCAGCCACCTCGGCATTACCGCATCCGAAGCCCACAGCCAAGATCTGCGGTTTGCTTGATGAAACATTAGAACTAATGGAAATCCATCCTCAGCAGCATCTTGGGTCTCCTTTTCCCTTTAAAAAACGGGACCAGGATGACAGTGAAGATGGATTTCTTGTACCCTTAAAAACAGTGATGTCCACGTTAGAAGACCGGCTTTCCAACATGCTGGCTGGATCTTCATGAGTATTGAAATTGATACTCCGAGTTCTATTTTTGATCAGGTCGTCTTTTTGCGCACCAAGTTGTTCAGTGTGGTCGATCTCAACGAGGCAGTAGGCTCGATGCTCTTGGTGCTCCTGACGGGATGTCGAAGAACTACTACCTCCTCTGGGACCACTCAAAGGGACGCCTGGGTGTCCGATATTGCTGCTGGCTTTCTTGCAGAAGACGCTCCTGATGCCAAACTTAGAGTAAGAGTTGCTGTGCTGGTCGCATGAAGATGCCTCAGACCATTCTAAGAGAGCTGCTTTTTCAGGTAGGAAATGAATGGAAGCACAACAGTATTAACCCTGTGCTTGAAGTCATCAGGTAGAAAAATCTTCCTCGTGCCGGCAAGCTATAGGAAGTACCTATACTCCCTACTAGCTGTAGTTGATCTTGAATACAGAAGATGGCCGTAACAAGATCAGGCGTGGGGTTGTCTTTGACGCCAGCTTGAGCGAGTTCCAATAAGCGTGCTGCAAACTGGACATCTACGCTATTCAGCACTGGAAAGGCAATCGTCGTGCTATTGCTGTTTCTTTGTTAGACGAGGAAAATGGAGACTCTGGTGAACGAAACGACAATACTATATTAACAAGTTGAAGTTGCACTAGACCAACATAAAAACCATGACATATTCATCATATCTTTAGAAGTCTAATACCAATATCAATATCTTTAGAAGTTTTTAGTACTACACAAACGGGTCAGTAGTTCTTGTTCATAAAAGGCAGAGGAAGACCGTAAGAGCGCTGTGGCCAGTGCGTCGAGTCCTTCGACCGGAGCTGCGGAGAGAAAATGGTCGTCAATCACTGCAGACGCGAAAAGCTCTGGGACAAAGTCAGTGGTGGAAGAGCTAGTAGTATGGATGTTGTTATTTTTTCTCCCCTCTATTACTGGCACACCATGATCTTCCTGGCAGTCTTTGTTTTTCCCTTTGAAACAACTGAGAAGTGCCAATCCTGGCAGCTTTTGCTTTTCTTCCCCTTGAAATAATGAGTATGAGTGCAAGGAAGATGGTCCGTTGATAAAGATAGGAGAAAAATGTCCATAATCATCTTCTTCTAAGGAACTGAAGGTGGTTCTCACCTTCCTCTTAAGAGCGGCCGCGTCTAGTTTCGCTGTATCTTGTTGCAGGTAGTCCTGCACGAAGTCATACAGGGTCGTTATCTTGTCGCACGCGCCTGACTTGAGCTGATCTTCTCTTAGAGCTCAAAACATTTCATTTCTTCCCTTCATTTCTTCCGAGAAATGAGCCGTGGAACGAAATGAAATGTATTGAGCCTTAATGCTAGGTCGATGACTACTTGTTTTCGATACTGAGCAACCTCTTTTTTGTCCTTAAACAACTTGCCCAGTCCTGTTTCCATCGGTCGTCTCGGTCTTATGAGTAACTTCAGCCCAGAACAAACTTGTTCAAGGAGCGGAAAAAAGTAATAGAGATATGAATATGTTGGAAGGAGAAGATGAAGAAGCGGAAAAAAGAAGAATCCGCGATGGGAGTTGGCCCCCTTGGTACTTCTTCTAGCACCTCGAGGACGACCCATGGATGACATCTCCAACGAACGAGAAGCTGCCCGATGCCCAACCTTTCTGGCAGTACTTTGACCTCCTTGTTCCCTTGCAGTACTTGTACTAGGAGAGTTACTGCTCCTTTGAGGGTTTTGTTGAACTGCTGCAGTGCGGATTGGTGGGGAGAAAGAGGTCGTCGAAGCACCAGTTGTACCAGTACTGGTAGGAGAGAGACAAGCAGACGGCAGCTTCATTTTCATTTTTGTAGTTCTACGACAGGGATGAGGAAGGGCGAGTGGCACAAAGGCCACGACGCCGTCAAAAAATTTAGGATTATACTAAACCTTAAACTTAGACTCTAAGGTCGCTAAGCTAGGTTAGTGGTAGTGCTAGTTGTAGTGTATCCATGTATCCAACATCATCTTATTCTCAAACTTTTTGCAGGAAAAAGGTGCTAATCTTTGGGCAAAGAACAGGACTCAAGTTTCCATGAACGTGTGCACCTCAATGCTGCTTCAAGATGATGCACTGAACTTTGTATCGAATTTCACCCACAACAATCTAAATGCTCATCCGGCGACAGACCAAACGGCCACCAGCAGGATATTTAGATTCTACTTGATACTTTTGATATTCTTCTCCCTATGAGCTTCTCATCGCATCTGCAAAAGTGTTTCGCTTCCGTTCTAGCAAATTGTGCTGTAGCTAGCCGTCTCTATTTAAAATCTTCTTGGTGCGCAAAAAAGGTTTTGAGATAATTGCGAGAGCGTAACAAGAGTTGAAATCTTTGTCTTTCACGGTGCGTAATATTTCTGTTCTTATATTTAAGGAAAACTTAAACGGTCGCGGTCTTTGCCTAGGCGACTAACAAAACAACGCGTCTCCCACTACTCGTACTCCTGACAACTACGCCCCATACCACATTCTATGCAGGTGCTCCTTCAAGTGTTTGTTTCCCCAAGGATTAGAACTAAGAGACATCCATCTTCAGCAGCATCTGCTTGGGTCCTCGTTGTTTTCGCTTTAAAAAGTATGCCGCGTGAGTATGTAGGTGAGATTTTTAGTCTATGATCGTTCGTCAGCCATAAAAGGATCTGTCTGCTCGTCAGCAGGACACGTTTGATACTCCGAATCCCATCTCTGTTCGTCACAAGCTTCTGCCATTTCCGTACCATAAAGTTTGTCGTGGCGCTGCAACCAGTCCAAAGAGCCAACATAATCCATAACGCGACGGCAGGGGTTAGAAGGCGATAGGGGATAGTACGTTGGAAGGAGACAACCGGGGTAAGAACGAAGGAGACAACTGGGGTAAGAACGACGGAGACAACTGGGGTAAGATCTAGATCATGTCGAGGACCTGTATTGGTAAAGAAACGACCTGATGAATCAAAACGAAAAATGAAATTTAACCGAGTACGGTGGTGGTGACCCGAGAGAGCTATCATTACCTTAGTACCATGAAGATTCAACTATAAATTCATCTTGGAATTACAACTTGATCATAACAAAGAGACCAAAGTTCCGTTGCCAGATATACAGTGCCCAACACCGTTGTATTCGCACAGCAGCCCAATGGCCCTTGATATTCCTCGCCCAGCAGTCTTCTAAATTTCTCTTTTTTTTAGAACTCACTACAACCCAGCTTTTGCCTCGTCTGCTTCTATTTTTCTTCTTGAAAACAGGCCAGAGATGGCCTAAAAGATGGATTAAGTGAGGCCTTAATTTTTGGTGACTGTTGAAACTTTGATGTTCCTGCTAGTAGATTCTTTGTACTAGACTGTCTCTGCAACATGATGTTTCCAACACTACCTTGTCTGTAGAGATGTTGAGTCGTTTGTGGGCGCAGGCCTCCACGATGTGGAACAAGGGCACTACTAGTAGTACTACCTCCAAAAAGTTGTTCTACTGAAGGCGCAGACGGATTATCCAGCCAATAGTTGAAACAGCGCCTGTGCATTGCAGCGGCCTTACGTAGCTGCAAGCGCTTTGCAAGGTCTTCGCGTTCTAGGACCTTTGTCCGATCAACCGCAGTCCTGTTGAAGAGAGAAGTCCTCCTGAAGTTGGCACATGAAAAGCGATTCTCAGTAAAGGGTAATAAATGTGAAGACTTCCTAGATCCGTTGCTTGTCCTTCAAGTGATCAAAAACCTATGTATTTTGCCATCTTGATGTTCTTGTCGCACACGGCGCAAATCAAGAAGATGCAACCCTTAAACATCTTTCATCTTCGACAAAGATATACGATCCTGTATTACCCCCCAGTTGCCCTTGCCGTTCCGATATTTCCAGGGCTTGCCTTCTGGGCTGCATCTTGTGGGGGCAGAGGCAGTGGTGGTGGGAATTGTTCCATGAAGGAATTTCTTCTCACTGGCGGCTTCTCGTCTTGTGGGCTTCTTGCGACCTCCCCTCGTCCTCCTCGTATTTGATTTCCCACTCCGCCATTCGCTGTTGCTATTACCTCCTGAGTCGCAGAAGTTGAAGATGTTTTTTCTGGTGGTGCATGTTGTCGTTGGTGTTGGTGAGAAACTACAGTACCAGCACTAGTGCTAGGTACTTCCGGATTCTTTCTTTCTTCACCAGAGGGCGTTCCTAGACCAATCGCGGCAGCTGACTGCACGAATTGCGAGCGCCTCAACATTGTCCCACCTCCTGACTGTGACGCGTCTTTGCCAAGGAGAGACGTTCTGCTTTGTGAGAGAGGCGAACTTTTCTGCAAAGGCTGAGCAGGGATCTGTTTTGAGTTTGATTCACGTAGTGGTGCTTCTAGAAGTGGTTGCTCTTTTCGAATGAAAGCATCACGAATGTACTTTTGTACTGTTTTTAGGAGTACTCCCTGTGTTGTCTTATCGATATGAATTGAGTTTAATCTTTAAAACTAGAGTGATCTCAGTCACACACAGTACAGTACAGTACAGTGTTCTTCTGGTCCTCGACAGTTGCTCCAGCGTCGTGTTCATTGGGTACTGGCGGCAACAAGCTTGCGCCTGCCGGACCCCTAGCACGAATAAATCCAGTCACTTTATGGGCTCGTGCGGAAAGAAGAGGCGGAGACTGGGCCCTTGTACTGGCTCCTAACTGCAAAAAACTAGCGCCAAGCGAAACGCCGCCCGCTGCCCTATTGTGATGAGATAGATCCACACTTCCTTTGACGCAGTAGCAAATCAATGAACAGAGAGGCGAACGCAAATTCTAGTCACAAAAAGTCTTGTTGTCCTTAGAATCTCAAAAACGTACTTTTTCATGATCAAACGAGTAGTTCGCCTGCAACAGGCGAGAGAAATAAATATCAATCATGACAAGTAGAAGTACCATCCTGGGCTGGGTCCTCTTTGCCAACTGGTTCCTCTCGGTGCCATCGTCTGTCCTGGAGGACAAGCCTGTACTAATGCTGCAGTGGGACTCGGGCCGCGATGTATAGCGCCTAATCCTTGGCTTAGAGGCACCAAGAGCCCATCTTTTTGCACATGTTCTTTTTGCACATCTTTTCAAGTCGAAAACGGCTGAAAAGTAAGATGCTGTAAAAGATGGGTTGGCGGTGCCCGTAATTGACTCATGAACTCTCGCCTCGTGTTCATCATGATACCTACCGGATCTGCAGTCCCAAACTTGTTGGAGCACGCCGTAGCTGTAGTGGGTTGTGCTGTCGAAGAAGTAGCTGTGGTCTGAGCATTGTTGGCTGATGCGTTGCCCTTGGCCTGCGCCTGCCCCGTGCTATGAAGCGGCACTTGACTACTACTGCGCAGTGCGGCTTTGGGAACAGGGCCACGCGCTCTAGCAGTAGCTGCTGCTGTCTCTGACGGCGCTTCTTTGCTCATTGTACTTGTACTAGAAGCAGCTACAGTCGTGGTCGTTCCCTTAGAGGACGTAGTTGTCGTTGCTGTCGACTTCGCACTACTGATGCTCGTGTTTGCACTGGCAACAGGTGGTTTACTTGTTTTCCTTAGTTGTTCTCTGTGCACTTGTTGGCTGTATCCCCGCGCACTTGCTGGAGGTCGCGCTTCTACGGCACCGAGTAAAGGCGGGCGACCACCACGACCACTGAGCAAAGGTGACGCACCAGGTAGAAGACCCGAGACCCCACTTGTAAAACCGAGACCGAGGCGAGTGCTTGATGGTGGACTCAAATATTAGAGCTGCGGGAAATCCCTCATCGGATCCTACCTCTAAAAACGGGACCAAGATGCTCGGGAAGATGGATTTCTAGCCTTAAAAATAACTCGTATTGTTCTGTTGCCCAAGAAACGATCGCTGTTGTTGTAGAGTTGTCCCAGCACCAGTAGCACTAGTACCCCTAGAAGCACCTGCCGTCGAAGACGCATAATTCAAAAAACGTGATCCAACTGCGTGATAATTAGCAGCGGCACTAGTACTATTGTTCGCTGGATGTGGCGGTGGCTCACGGGAAGTTGTCCTAGAAGATGCTACAGTTGTCGCTTGTTTGTTGTTGTTTGTTGGATGATACTCATTTCTGGCGCTCCAACTGGCCATTCTAACGGAGCTAGCACTTTTGTTCAGCGCTTTGGATTCGCTATTTGGCGCCCCTCTAGTGCCTCCCCCGTGACCATGATCGCCTCCTCCTGTTGTTCGAGGTTGCGCCATTCTTGCATTCCTCAGAACCCCCTGACTTCTTTCCTACTGGAAAACAAGGCAAGGAGGGTAGTGAGGAAGGCAATGTGGAACCCCTTAATGTTGCAACTGTTGCGCCGTTCGGTTGAGCAGTGGCACGAAGCGGAATGGACTGAGAGGATCGTTGCACTCCTTCAGCGCCATTGGAGGTTGCAGTAGAAGCACTGGGAGAAGTTTTGGATGTACTAGCTGTCGCTGTTCTGGTACAACTGGTAGACTGCGCAGGACCAGTTGCGCTAGGTTTAATAGAAGTGCTGGCTTCTCCCGTTTTATTTGTGATACTATCATTAGAGGCACGCTCTCGGTGTTTCTCCTGTTCCCCGTTTGCTATGGCTTTCTCCCTTACGAGGGGCAAAGCAAACGGCACAATTGGAACACCCTTAACGAACCTACCCTTAACAGTATCAGAACCCTGCGTCTTGATCTGTCTTTCCACGTAGCTTGCCGTAGGTACAATGCTTTTGAGCGCAGAGGGAGAGCGATTCAAGATGATCTGGCCGATTGGCGTATGTATCGCTCCAGCTGGCCCTATAGAGATACTAGGCCGACGACCTCCACCTCCGGGAAGACAAGGCGGCAACCCTGCTCCGCTCATGACGTTTGTAGTTGTAGGTGGCAACCCTGCCCCGCTCATGTTGACATGATTTCCAGCAGTGTTACTAGAAGTTGTTGTTGTACTCATGGAGGACGAGGATGAAGGAGGCTGCTGTTGTGCTGAGGATGTGGAGACTGCTGTGCCTGTTGGCGCTCTTCCGGAGGTTGTTCCGCTACTATTAGAGCGCACCACAATTATCCATCTTCTTGAGACTCAACATCCCGGACATTTTCAACAAGGAGACAAGACTTTTAATTTTACGCTTGAAAAGCCTCTAATCATCTCCTAGGATGACTTCTCTGAAGAAGAAGATGGACCATTTTTAGGGGAAGCCTTAACGGTTGTTCCGTTAGTAGTTCCTGCTCCAGTGGCGCTACTCCAAGAAGACGCATCTGCTGCGACACTACAACTAGAAGATTGATGCTCACCCGCCACACTCGCTGGCGTCGACGCAGTCGAATTCGCGTTGACGATCGTGTTCTTGCTGCTTGGTACATTTCTTAGAAGAGACGTTCTGGATACTATATTCAGCAGGAGGAAGACCTGGTGGGGACTTGAATCACCGCGGGAAGCTAGCATCTTCGAGCGTCGATCATAGATTTACCACTAGTGTACCGTAAGAAGAGAGCGGCCCACTCCTTTGTCCAAAATGCCTCTTTTTTGTTTTGAACAAAGTAGAAGAGTTTGATTATCTAGCTACAGAATTGGACTAGTGTGGCTAAGATTCTGTAGCTAGGACTGTGTGGTGAGAGAGTCTTAACTTCTCCGGTTTTGCTGTCTGATCTCCGCCAAAAGTATGCCCGACTCCCGCTGCCACCGAAAAAATATTGCTCTTGGCGCCTGAAACAACATGTCTAAACATCCCCATGGATGACGACGCGCTGGCAGTGGATGTAGTTGCTGCATTTGGTAATGTCGTGTAACTACAGATCTTAGAGGCGGCTGCAGAAGCAGATGATGATCATCATCATCAGATGAGTGCGAATACGAATTTGTAACGAGAACAGTATGTTGGTTGAGAATTGGCACTTGTTAATTAGAAAGTGTGCAATAGTTGAAAATCGGAAACAAATACACCAATTGTATTTGAGACACACACTAATGAATATGAAAAAGAAAGTCAACGTGTAATTGAGACACATAATTTTCGTCCCCCCGCCCGATTGTTTTTCTGCTGAGTTGAGCAAACTCTGATACTGTTGGAGCGATCCACGCGTTCCTAGCTCAGGACTTGCCTGAACGGGTTGTCTTGGCTTTGCCCATGGACTGGCGCCAAATCCTAGACGGATTTCCGAGTTGGGACTTATTGACCGAAAGCGGGAGCTGGCAAAAGGCCCCACCCCTCCTCCGGGTGAGGTCATGTAGCTTTGACTCTCCGCTTTTGCTTGCTTATCGCCTTCAGGCGTCGCTAGAAACTGCCTTTTGTTAGATGAGTCTGTTCAAGACTTCCTCGAAACAAGACAAATTATCAGAATTTCGATTTCCCATCTTCAGAGTAGACAGCTGTCTTAACCGTAGACAGCTGTCTTAGTCAGAATTTCGATTTCCCATCTTGTTGAATGCCTTAATAGTAGACAGCTGTCTTGGAGGCAGTGCGCCAAAAGCTTGGGATAGAAACGATGACCCCGCACGCGCTGAGGGCTTGAACACTTCCGAAGAAGATTGACCTGTTTGTTCTTCGGAAGTCATACTCTCGTCAAGGATTTCTTCGATAGACAGAGAAGTTGTGACCAATGATGTCATATGGGTCGCGAGAGGTTTAGCTTCTCCCAAGTGATGAAAAGAAACTTTGAAGCAGAAAGAACAGGGCAAAAACTGTGAAAATAAAGTCAGAAGAATCACAAATACCCAATGCAGCCGAATCCAGTTGGGGCACTGTTGGTTCGAGCTTTGTTTTGCTACTAGAAGCATCAGCTCCCTGCTGAGGCGTGCCGCCCGTTGATGATGATGCTGAAAGATTGAAACTCATTGTGAAACCAACGACGAGAGTTCTTGATGAGGAATCAAAAGAGTGATGAATTCAATCAAAAGACCCACTTCCATAAAAGAACAAGTAGCCAGTGGCTACTTGTTCTTTTATGCTAGACCATTCTTTTATGCTAGACGACTTCTACACTATCAAGGAGAACTGAAGTAGTAGAACTAACTAGAACTCAGAAACAACTATGATCGAATAAGTATATCCTTATAACTAAACACCTAAGTAACATATTACATGTTGTCCTAACACGAAATCTAAAAAGGGATTCTGTACCCGGAATCGGCGCCGGCCTTAGCCTTTGATTCAAACTGCCTGTCGGGTTAAAGCCAACGACCAACGTCCTAGGTGACAGATTCGGCGACGCGCCACGCCGTAGTAGCGAACCACCACCCGCGCGATGACGAAAGGTTTGCAGAGGCGGGAATTAGAAGGAGAAGGTCTTGGACACGGAGACATACTAGAGACAAAAGATGGGTGAAAATAGTACTGCCAGCACGAAGCTTGTCGCGAAGCGCAGGAAGTTGGGAGAAATGTTGAAAGAGTGAGTCCTATAACGAGATAACAACTATTCGATAACCTGAAATAAACGAGTTGTAACTACTGAAAATATAAGCGAGATACGGAACAAGGAAGAGTAGCCCTGTCAAAGCTACCTCCCATATGTCAGTCAGTAACTCGGCTATTTTCAGTTTTCGAGTACCTTCAAACTCATACTGCATCTGGTGTAGAAGTACTCCTGATTGCAATGTTGAGCAAGAATATACTTCACCCACTAAATTAATTCGAGTTTCGATATTGAGCTTAGAAGTAACCTAAAAACTATATTTCTAGTCTTAAGAAAGCAGTGAGCCTTGAGGTGCTCCGAAAGATCCTGCCTGTCCAAAGCTCCGTGGACTTGGGCCTCCTGTGGCCGCAGACGTTGCCACATTTGCGGCAGACGCTGCAGCCCCATTAGTCGTCGTCGTGGTAGTGGCTGTAGTTGCCATTGTTATTGTATCTTCTTTACTCAGCTTTAATTGCGGATTTTACTCAGCTGTCAAAAACTAGTACTTATTTGCAAATCTTGCGATGAGTATCAAGGTCCTTTCTCCTTGAAGAAACACAAAAATCTCACTTATAAGAGTGAACGGGTAGGAGACGCTCATGATGGTACTGTACAATGATGGTACTACAATTATGGTACTACAATTATGGTACTACAATGATGGTACTACAATCATGTAACATCAAGAAACTGTCCAATAAATATAGCAAACTGTCCAGTCTCGTCAGCTTCACCCCTTTTCCTATGCAACAAGTGGCATGAATCAACTTTGCATGGAGTTTGAAGAAGTTCTTGCACTTGTCTCCAACAACACCAAGATCTCTCAGCTTCCTTGCTCTCGTGCTCTTCTTTACAAGATAGTTCTCAAATACTGTGGTCTGCTTTTAGGTTAAGTTAGGTTGTGAATCCTGCACATCAAAGCCCCCCCGGCAACTTTTAAACTATTCTAATAGTAATTGTGGTGGAGCAGACCTGACTAGAAAAAAGACAGACCAGAGGAAGAATTTCCAGAATCCACCCCAAAAGGTATTTTCCTTTCTCACTCGTAGTCTTCACTCGCAAATCACTGCTTCCCCACTTCCACATCCCTTGCGCATCCCATCGTCAGGGCTTTGACTCTTTCAGTAAATGAATAATAGAGTTTTTTCGCTTTGGCACCTACTAGGTGCTCTTGCACAGTAAACTTTTCCTATACATCAACTTGCAATAGTTGTACTACAGGTAAAAATTTTAAGAGTCCCCTACTACAAACTGTATGATAGAAGCGAAGGCTTGAACGCTTACTCAATGTTTTTACGGTTTGGTTTTCTTGTAATTCAGCTGGAGTAATTGTTTCCACAGTAACTAAACACTCTTCAGCACTATTCTGTGAAACTGATCTTAATCCAGTCAATAAAACTACTAAGGCCAACATAGTTGTATTAGATCAATTCCAATTCTGTTAAAAACCTGATCTTAATCCAGTCAACGAAACTAAACTAAAGTCCTCATCATGAAGATAAGCTTGAGTCCTCAAGGACAAGGTCATCAACGATTATTCAATGCATAGAGGGAGGCATTTGCAAGTTCTTCAGCTGCACGCTCGCGAAATTCGCGACATTCCCGCTTATGGGCCGGCCAATCTGCTTGCTGGCACTTCTTCGAACAGTAATGAACTAAATGGCACTTTTTACACAACATAGATATGGCTGCAGTAGTGGTTTTCTTGTTCGGCGATACTGATCTTGTCGTCGTGTGCATCTTATTTGACGTGGTTACATTTTTGATCATCACGCCACCAGCACTTCTAGGAGCTGTGCCAACCCCAATGCCTCCGCTACCTCCAACACCGCCGCCACCAACACCGCCAGACACCATCTCGACATCTCTTTTGTCGTCAGCGTCATCGGAGTCCTCTTCCTCGGTCTTTTCCGTAACCCTACGCGCACATCTAGCGCACCAAAGTAAGGAGTTGCCGTCTTAGATAATGATGTACGCATTGAAGTTTCCTGTTGTACTTGTCTCAGAAAATAGATCATAAGAAAAGTAGTAGAAGCAAACTGCGACATCAATCTAACTGTAGCGAGAATGACTCATCAATAGCCAGGGCCGTAACCATTACCATTACCATACACGTTGCCGCTCGAAGAAAAAGAAGAAGTCCCAGAAGCGAAATGATGCTCATCACTGTTGAGCAACCATCCTGTGAGGTGTTTTTTTCGTGCGATGTCCACAGCTGATAGTTTCCACGCATCCTGTGTGAGAACGCGGGTACCTACACTCCGTGGACCTCGTCTACTAGATGGAGAGAAAGTAGTAGTTTGCTTGTTCCATGTTGTTCCCAGTGTGCCTGTGCGTGGACTTGGGCTTAAACTTAGATGATTTGGAGTTCTTGATGATAAAAATTCATCTAGATTTTTGTTGATCACTTATTTCTCTTCCATCTTACTCAGAAAAATGAAAAGAAAACTGCTTCTACGTACTGTGGCGAATTTACTGTTGTCGAAGGCCTTAAAAGGTTCAGAAAGTGGGCATCACCCATCTTGTCTTGTTGTTTCGAAACGAGCTGCAGCCCACTCCAAGCGAGAAAGTGGAGAGGTGCCCAGCCATTGCTGTCAGGCGTTTCCAATGCCTTGTCTTCGTCGATGGCGTGGAAGGTTAGACGGTTGATGGAAATAAAACGACTTCGCCAACAAGAAGGTGGATGGGAAACAACAGAGCGCAGCCACCCCTTGCGCCTGACAGACAAGTCGGCCCTACACAATCAAAAACCAAAAGAAACGGGGCCCCAGCTGATGCGCTGCCCCGCGGGCAACCCCACGCACACGCCACAGCGCCGCCCCGCGACCAAGCGGGAAAGTTTCCCGCTGAGTCCTCTCTTGCTGTCTTTCCATGCTTAGCCACTACCACAGCCCCGCTGGCTCCTCGATCGCGCTCACGTGCTCGCGCCCTCATGGGCGTTTGGGCGGGCTCTCCTCAACATGTTCTTCGCACACTGTCTGTCGCCCAACGTACGCGGAAAGACGCACACGGGCGGGCCTCCGGCATCACAACGTCCCCACAACACAAGGCGGGCGCGCGTCCGTGGGCGTTCAAGGAATGGCATTGGCGCCGCAAAAACGCCAAGAGGTCGGAGGCTGGAAAAGAGAGGCGGCAGAACGCGGCGCATGCTCTAAAATCTGAAACCTTCAGAGACACAGCCCTGACATCGTTCCGCTTTGATTCTGAGGCCTGTGGCCTCCCTCCGTCCTCCTTTATCGTCGGCATCGATGACATGCGCCACCATGACCAAAAACAGCAGCCCCCGAGCTAAAAGCAGCCCCACACCTGTCGGCGTCGCTGTTTGAGTGGAGTGCCCCGCTGAGGCGGTGGCGCCTGCAAATGCCGCGACTAGTCAAGACGCTGCGCCAGCCAAGTTTCCTAGGGGGATCAGCTGCCGCACCAATGAGGTGGCCACACCCCGGCGCGGAGGTTTTGAGTAGGTGCCTGCGTCAGTTTTCCTACTCCGCCGGGCGCCATTTATGCCCAGACGCTTCAAGCCATGCCCGTAAGGCGGTGGCAGCTACACCCTCGGCACCATCTCACAGAAATCACGCACGCCAGCGCATACAGGGGGGCGAGCTCTTGCCGCGGCCTGCCGCATCGTATACAAATCACGCCGCCCATTCGTCCGAAGGCCAGCGCTCCTGCATGAATTCAAACCCCGACACTTTGCGCGTTGGTTGGTTCTGGATACTTGAGGCGATTCCCTGCGGCAAACTTCTTTATCTTTGCCGGAACATGCTCGACAGCTTTCAGAAGCTCCTGCGCGACCGACACGGCTGCCCAAAACTCCACACGCGCTCGCGCGTCCATCTCCATGCCCCACACTCACGCGAAGCGCCTCTTCCTTCGCGTCGTCTTTTTGTGCTTCGCATAGTGCTGACGAGTTCGCTTCCGAGTGGCTTCCTTTTTACCATGCAAAACCCGCAAGCTATCAACCGCAGACCCCCAGCCAGCGTGTCTCGATGAGTTGCGGCACAGTGACAAGCCCCCGGGGGTACAGCTGTGACACGATGCAGATACTCGCTAGCAACGCTCTGAGTCCGAAACTGAGTAGAATCGTCAAAGATATTACGTGGCTGAAAAGCAGCGGGCAAGCAATGCGAACAGCAGTCCAGCAAGGTGAGAAAACCAAACGGCGCCGCCCTTGCTGCGGTAAGCGTCGGGCAACGGGAACGGTGCTGGCTGTCCATAGAGGTCTTCAAGCGGGGCCTTGTTAATGTTTTCCGAGCCAAGAAATCCGGCTCGGCGTTTACGGCCGGCGGGGGCAGTCGCAGCCGTCCATTTTGGTACTCGTCCGGCTGCGAATCCGGTTGAAGCAGGGGCACTGAGATGCTTTATCGGTTGAGGCTGAGCGACCGCAGTCGCGCGGAGTGGCTGAGGCCGCCTTATTCGTTTCGCTGGGGCCGTCGACTCCTGACGGGACCGGCGAATTTTCTTTGCCTGCTTTCGTGCATTTCAAACTATTGTCGGTGCATCGCCCTAACGGCCCACAAAGGTCCACCGATCTGTTTGCAACAAATCGCCGCGCCTCAGTTTCTTACGGCTCCACACCGGCGCAGGGCGCCCCCCCCCACGACAGTGGCGGAGGCCTCCCAGCCTGCGGCCGTGGGTACGCGTCCACCCCGCACGCTCTTGCCCCTGCAGAGTTGTCCCACAAGCTGCAGCGGCTGACCACATCGGCGCAGCCTTCCACACCATAAGCTTGGGGAGAAAAAACCCCGCGAAAGTTGAGACATTCCTCTGTTTCTTCACGATCACTCTTCTACGACTACCAGACTGCCAATTCTCCTTTCCTTAACAGTAACAGCTTCACGATGTGCGGATGTCCCGCGTGACAAGCGCAGTGCAGGGGCGTCTTCCCTCCTTCCAGGCTTTGCTCCGTTACTGCTTGACTGCACTCATGTATCAAAAATAGACACACATCAGCATGCCCACCAGCTGCGGCTATGTGCAACGGCGGCAGCGGATCTGATGCGACGAAGCTAAAAGCGGACTGCACCTCTTCCTCCACTTTTTCACGTGCCTGGTCAACTTTCCTCCTCTTTTCTGCACCATAGCTTCCTAGGAGCTTCAGACTCGCAGTTGCTAGTGACTCTGCAAAATCATCGTCGTTGCTGTGTTGCTTTTCGGCGAGGCTCTCCGGGTTTTAGAGAGCGGTAAACTATTACAATTACAGCTAGAATTGCACAAGCAGCAAATGGTTAAACTTACTTTAGCACCCTCCATCGTGCCATCTAAAACCATCTAAAACACACCACGACCTCTACAACTACTAGTAGTATCACATCACATCTTCATAAATAGGATCTGCACCACACTCCTCATCTGATATTTCTGCATCTGATTCTTGGTCCGGTATAGCGGCTAAAGTTCCGTACCGCTGTAAACCTCTTAGTGGACTCCTGGTCTTCGGTTTCGCCTTCTTGGATTGCTGGCTCGTCGAAGTGACTTCGGTATGATGTTGCTGCGCATTTCCGGTAGAACCGTATGGATTAGAGATTTAGATCCTCTTTTGTGTTAGAAGTCGTCTGCCTTTTGTTCTCACTAAAACAAGCAACAATTTATGGGTTTAAGTGTATGATTCTACCTCTCCCTAGTACTACCACCGGAAAAAAGGTACCAAGGACGATCCTTGTTCTCGTTATAATCGAATCGAGCGAATCGAGCTGCATAACTTGACTCCTGGCATAGACATTTAAATGAAGTAGACAGAGGCATAGCCTCAGTATACCACTACATATCTCATCAACTTCAACAAGTCGCTTAACTTTATTCCTCAGATTTAGCCTATGAGGCGGCAAAACTTTGCGCGCCCCATCTCCAGACGCCGGAAACGACGAATAGTCAAAGTACCCCGCATCTTTTAGGCGTTCCAAGATGTCTTTGTTTGCGGCAAAAGCGCAGAAGTGCACGATACCCCAACCACGTCGATCCACAGCTGATAAATCTGCGAAAACTTAGAAGACCTTAAAAATACCGAAATTCATTGTCCATACATTTACATAATCGTGATGAGCCGTATACGACTAACTAGACTTTCTAACGACCCACCTTCTTGGATGAGACAATACTTCAGAGAAGTCTCTTCTCAGCGGATAACTAGACTTTCTCTCTAAACTAGTACTTCTCTCTAAACTACTAGTAGTACCCTACTTGGCGAAGCAATTCTACTTGTTCAGAGAAGTAAGTCCAAGTCCTACTTGGAAGCAATTCTACTTGTTCAGAGAAGTAAGTCCAAGTCTCCTATAGATACATAGCATGCTTCCTACTTGTTCAGAGAAGTAAGTCCAAGATACAACTCTCCTATAGATGATACATAGAAGATACAACTCTCCTATAGATGATACATAGCAGAAATTAAACTCTCCTATAGAATTTGCGGCAGGAAGCCTTAATGGTTCAGGAAAAATTGGATGATGTCGTCTTCGACCCTCATCAGAACGAGTAGATGGACAGCACTGCGCTCTTGAGGTCGATCTGTAGAGCCGAGTTCCGGGATTAGAGGGTGGGACCCAGAGAGGGATGACGGCTCTGTTCTGCAAATGTTCTGCAAATGATAAGAATAAGAAGATGAAAAAGATGAAGATGATGATCCTAGTACCAGGATAGTACCAGGGACATAAATTTGCTGGGACTTCGTCAAAAAGATGCTGATGAAAGTGAAATGTCGCGATTACAGATCCTAGATTGAGAAAGTGGTCATTCTTTTTTGTGACAAAATACTATTTGAAGAAAGGTAATGAGCAGGAAGCATCGAGTAGGCTGGAATTGGAAGACTCATGATGTTCTTTCCATAACAAAGTTGGCCAATTTGAGCACAGCAGGTGCATCATTTGCAAATCGCGATCCTTTATGGCGACTCTTAGCGCCCGTTTTTCCCTCTATCCCTTGTCGAGAGAGATGTCCTGCTTCCCTTGTCAACATAGGTATGCCCTTGATAGTGTCGTTCCTAACACCCGTAGAGAGGACCCTCGTGGTTTCATTCCCCTATAAAATTAATCAAGGGCGGGAAGAGACTCCACTTCTCAGCATAATGGGATAGTGATAAACTCCAGCCTTAATACGAGTAAAGGCGTGTCTCCATTCTTGTTCCTCATGTTCCAGAGTGTTTTGTCCTGTGCAAGTTGAGCATTTTGCAGATAAGCTCGGATTTTGTTGACTTTTCTTAAGGGTTAAAACATTTCATTTTTGGATGGCAATGCTTATGCTAACGGAGAGAAGCATAGCCTAATATGGTACTAATGTATAGTAATGAAATGCTTCAAGAACCCTTAACTTTCCCTGCTCTACGGCGTTGATAACGATATACTTCTTCTCCTCTGAGGGTAGTTGGCTTTCTTCTTCCTGCCTCGCCAGATCCTCTATGACGGAGAAAGACCGTCTCTTCACAGTAGTACGGCGTCGGGAGGCGGGATCTGTGAGAAGACAGTTGATCTCAGATTTGTTGATGATGTAAGTACCCTCTGGAGCTCTGGAGCCAGTCAAAGTTGTTATTTCATGTCAGGCAAACAGTTTGTGGATTTGTTCATGATGCGATTTGTAGAGATTGAGAAGTGGTCACAGCACTTGGCTAGAATTACCCCTAAGCAAAAATGGTCCAGATTTCTCTAGAAGTGGCAACAGAACCAAGCAGAGAAGATGGCGAAATATAAGCCGAGCAGAAGTCTTCTTCATCATTCATCATGTAACGACTTACGTATCAGCATCACGATCATTTTGAAAAACGTCAACATTGATTGATTGATTGATTGATGTACCAACTCACGGGTTAAATAAAGCATCTCTATATGTATAATTTCTTAGAGCCGCAAGCTTTTCTAGTTCTTCTGTCTAGTTCCTCGTTCCTTTTTTCCATCTTTTTCCGTTATTCCTCATCATGTCGTCAGCATCATCTTCATGAACTTAAGATCGAGGTGACTCACCTAGACTAGCATCTTCCCTTCAAAAATACCTCCCGCAGGAATCGGTGCCGCAGGTAAGTCGCTCGTTTCTCCGAAGACTGATGGTTGCGCCGTCCCTTCCATAGCATAATTCACCAGGAAACGTCGGAGGTTGAAAAACCTTCGCCTCGCACCTTCGTGGGCACGCCATTCACGTTGTAAATCCGGGAAGTCCATTTTTCTGTCTTCTAAGCTACGTGACTTTCCAACACGACACAATTGTCGCTGCTGTCTATATTTGATATTAAGACCATGAACATCATGCCAAAATGAAAATGTAAATACTTCTTTCCATCTGTGCTTTGAACAGTAATCTTGCTTGCTTCGTTTCTGAAACACAGAGGACAGTGTCCTACCGCGTGTGCCATCAATGTCGCCCGACTGCTTCTGCGAGATTTCGCAAGAATCTCGATTGTCTCCTGTAAAAAATCTAAAACAAAAGCGTTAAAACGCTTCTTTGAATCAATACGGTTCCCGCAAGGGGAGAAGTAGGGGTCATAATCTTCGTAAAAACCTACGAAGATCGTTACCTTGATTATAGTGTTGAAAAACCCGACCTCATGAAAGGTGGTAGGATATAAGAATACACGCAAGCGAGCGCATTCGGCAAAAAAAAGGTAAATTCTTGATGAAGAAGAACAATGCTATTCCTATTGAATAGAAATCGGTGATGGACAAAAACTAAAACCTCTACATCCAAACTCTTCAAAATTCCACATTCGAGGATGAAAGAGCGATAGAATTCGTTCTTGCTGGTTGGCGAGTAGGTGAGTGCAGTTGTGATTTGTCCTCTCCTATAGGAGAATCTGCCCGCACTCCGTAACCACCACCTCCTGGAGTCTCTATCCGCAACACACTACCTGCTTTGATGTTTTCTTTAGAGCTCACCCGAATCCATCTTGAAGACCATCTTGAGACGCTTTTCCCCTTGAAAAAGTGCCTAAGATGCTTCCAGAGATGCATAGGGGGAAGCCGTAATTTCTACACGTTCGCAACCTGAAAGTACTCTAGTATTTTTTGTGGTACTAATGAGCATTTGTTTCCCACTCTGCCCATCTCCGCCACCTGCGAGTCCAAACGGCCTGGTGGAACGTCTTTGCGTCAATAAGCTTAATTCTATGCCATCCTGGAGAAATTCCAGTTCTCGGATGACGCCATCGCCACCTCTATATTTTCCATGACCACCGCTGTTTGGGCGTAAACCAAATTTGCGGACCACGACAGGGTAAGAAGACTCGAGGACTGCTAGTTAGATGAGGATGGACGAGCATCTACGGAAACATCTACGAAAATCTACTAGTAAGTCGTGGTGATAGACGGGATGGAAGAGCATCTACGGAAACATCTACGAAAATCAACTAGTGGTGATAGACGAAATTCCAACCGCTCAATTCTTGATTCTCATAATCAACATCAGTCATCCGTGTATTTGTCATGTGAGCGTGCTTTCCTGAAGTTCCGTGCCATGTAGGTCCCGCTCCAGAGCCTCCGGCGATGGTTTTGGGTATGAGAGGAACAACTGTGGCTATAAGCTGACTCATCAAAGAACTTGAACTTGAGTTGTAAAAATGTATGGTTTGACGAGAGAGACTACTCTACTAACCCACAGAGCTGCAGCGTGCTGGGAGGAGCCATGTTTTCACAAACAACAACTGGTAATAAAACCGCCTACTGCACGCTTGACTTACTTGATGTTATACATAATTTCTATTTCAATTAATATGTCGTTCGTCATAACATAGTATCCAAACCGTTTCGCCGAAGCATCCTCTGCTGAAATCCCGAAACTGAGATTGTTCATGCATCCCTGACTCGCGGCTTGAGCATGAAAAGCCTTTAAAATGACGTCTGTCACGCGCATTGATGTCGTCACATTTCCCGCACAGACCGCAAGGCCAGGCGCGTTAGAGCTACCGCGCTCGCATCTTGTTGTTCCTCCTCTTTGAGAGTACTTAAGTAATAGTATCCTTGGAAGTAGGTAGCCTTAAGAGTGGGGTTCAGCAGGCTCTTCTCCGGTAGTTTGATCTCCACTGGTAGCAGGCAACCGGAGTTGAGCGGAATATCCATACGCACAAGGCATCTGAGGCAGTACATGATCGCTGCAGAGGTAATCGCTTTTGGTGCGTTGATGTTGGACTCAGGCCTTTCACCACCAGTGCCTGAGAAGTCGAAGATGGCTCGAACCTGGCCTTGGCCTTGGTTTTGGGTGGTAGCAAGACTTTGGTTGTGGGTAGAAGTACTAGGGTTGTTTTTGTTACTTGCTGTAGCGGCACTACGAGGGATATTCTTACGGGTACTAGGGTTATTCTCATTTTTGCTAGAAGCCGTCGTTGGAAGGTGCGATGACTGAGGAGCGGAAGAATCCACCTGCGTGATGTTGTTTTCCATTCCAAGTAGCTTTTTCTCGTGCCCACTCATCCCATCATTCTCGTTTACTAGCTCTTCGTCTTGAATTCGCCGTTGCCGTTTCAATTCTGGGCCTTCAGTTGTCGTGTCTTCATTGGTCGTTAAGATACTCACCTTCAACTTGATCTTCGTCCCGCAATCCATACAATCCTCTGCACCGAAGGTTGTCCTTCCAAACTTCTTGCACATCTGCAGTAGCATGGCCTCGACGCAGCGCCTAGCATGCTGTTGTACCCATTCCATGTAGTTTAGGACTGTCCTTCTCCCTCGGTCGTTCAGCATCTCCAACAGTAGAGCTTTGGCTTTATGGTTCGCGGCAACCTGCGCTAGGGTTAGAGCAACAAGAAAGTGCGCTTCTCACGCGACACAACCAGGAGCACGACCAGGTCAGCCAAAAAGTCACTCTTACTCAGCCAAAGAAGATATGTGTGTTGAAGAGTAGTCCCTAAAAAGTGGTCTTTAATATAGACATGATACACAGCTGGAAAGAAGATACATAGTAGAGTTTAAGGTAAAACTTCCCATGTTGTATCTATCTATTTCTTCAAAGTCATCTTAACTTCAAGTCACTGACAACATCCTCCAAGTTTCTCGATGTTGAGAAGAGTTCTCGCATCCTTGGTTCCTGGAATTCGCCACCTTCTGAAACCAAAATCTCAGACCGCAACAAACTCCCTTCTTGAGACAGCAGTGTGCTATTGCTGGGCATGGATCCAGCAGCTATGCCGCCTATATCTGCGTGATGACCTCTGTTGGCGACGAAGAATAGGAGCTCTCGTTGTTCTCCAGTCTGCGTCTCGTTGGACTTGGAGGAGGACATCATAGACGTCGAGTTATTGACAAAAACTGGCGTTATAACGGTTACATCTGGCAGATGCGATCCGCCTGCGAAGGGGTCGTTCGTAACCCATGCCAGCTGGATGTCTCTTCTATTAGATTGACACTCTTGGATGCATGGGCACTCTGGGATGCGTCCATGGTCCCTAATTAAGAAAAGGATGTCCTTAGTCCCATTTTTTTTTTCTCTTTCCGCTAATTGAAAAAGGGACGAACAGGGATGCACGCTGTTGACAGCTGCAGTACTACCAGAACCAGCCTTAATCTGAGTATCATTCTTGGTCGATGATGATAGGATTGATCTCAGCTCCTCTCTCCGTATACACAATTGCGCTTTCACCGTCTCCGCCATCGCGCCTAGATGAACTGGCACGTGTGGTGCATTCGCTACTAGCCCTCCGTCAGCCGAGAAGATAGCACACGAAAAGTCCAGACGCTCTTTGATGTTCACAGAGACGGCCGTCCGCTGCAATACACGCCCAGCTTGCTCCGCTACAGACATGAAGCGATGGCTTCGGTTAGAGCTCACACGAATTCACCTTGGAAGTGATCTTCGCTGTGTTTTCCCTTTTAAAACGGGTCAAAGATCATGCCTCTTAAGATGAATTTCGGCGAGCCGTAACGTAGACACTTAGGGACGCAGGATCGGGGCCTGTAGGTGGAGGTTCAGGGTCAGAAGATAGATGCTCATGTTTCCTCCTGCTCTTATGGAGTCGTGAAGACGGAGATGATGGGAGCTGTACCCCTGGTCTTCTTTCATCCCTAGAAGCACTAGCTTCCCCATTCTTCAGTGGCTTACCGCTCGGATCAAAAGCTTCAGGCAGCCGAGAGGGAGCTGATAAGTATTTCCTCCACGCCAAAATGCTGTCCTGAAGGCTGGTTGCAGCTCCGGCAGAATTAGTGGTGGGCGTAGTAGTACCATTTTTAGTCCCTTTAGTGGTCGCTGTGCTCTTTGTGCCACTACTACTATCAGGCAGCACCGTGATATCCAGACTACCATCAGGCAACACCTTCGCTGTACACGCTGCATCCAAAACACAGGTCGTTGTCTTATCAAGTACCCATGCTGGTCCCGCTATAATGTCCCCAGGTTGAAGGACAGGGAAGATCCCCGAGTCCTGTTGTTCTGACAGAGCCGCACTTGTTCTCTGCTGCTCAAGTCGCTTCCTCGTCAAGAAGAATCCCATATACTCCTTGAGAAAAACAAGCCTTACTTTCTTGCAAAGCGCTGCGTCATCTTCCCGCCTCGTTGAAGATTCTTCTTGCTTTATTCGTCCCGTATCTTGCAGCCCTACTATCATAGAAGCCATCTGACTCCACGTCTCATCATTTGGCTCCTCGACAAACGCCGTCGAGTCTTCGGGCACGGATAAGAAATACACTCCAGCAGTGACCCAACGCTTCTCTAGGACGTCGAAAATCCGATCCACTGCGGCACAACGCGGATGATCACGCTGGTCATTTTGTCCTACTTTAGCCGTTGTTCGACTAGGAGAACCAGAAGCACGAGCCAGCTCAAACTCATCTATTTTAGAGCTACCGCGCTAGCATCCCCGAGTGCATCCTTGGTCGTCCGTTTTTCACAAGTAGAAAAAGAAGAACCAAGGGTGATACTGTAAGGACATGCTTGAGCGATAACCTTTGAGCGATAACCTTAAGAACTATTGGTTTTGGTACTTCTTCCTTCTTGTTCAAGTTCCCAACGGCCTTCACCCTCAGGTCCTCCACCAGCACATCCCGGTCTCCAGCAAGCTCGAAGCCAAACGTTGACCGAAATTGCCTTCGAAACTCTGAATGAAAATCGAACCTATGGGGTTGAAGATGTCCCTCTCCCTTGTTCTGGGCTTCCTCGTTAATGGAACTTGGTGAACTTTCGATCATTAGTTGGTTATCGTTGCCGCGATAGCGTAGATGTAGGTAAAAACAAAACTCGACTTTCGATTTATCGTTAAACCCCTGCTCTTGCAAACTCTCACGGCATTGCTCCTTGAGTTGTTCGAAGCCACGCTGAAAAACTGCTTTTTGACGTTGGATATTCTCCTGTGTGGAGTCCTGACCGCTTTTAGCAGGCCTCGTCGTACCAGTGATAGCACTGTCTGCCCCCCTCATCTCTGGCAAAAGCACCACCTCCACGCCAGTAGCAGTCCCTTCTCCAGTTCGTTCCCTACCCACAAAGTCAGCAAAGAGCCTTGCTGCATTTATACTGCGTTCACAAGAGACATCTGCCAGGCCCATGCCATACGCAGACAATATACCACTTTGCTTATGAACAAAAGCTTTTCGAATACCTAAAGCTCTCGCGATTCCACAAACGTGTTGAGGCCCAGCACCACCAAAACAGGCCAGAACGTGGTCTTTGACATTAAACCCTCTTGACTCGGATAATTCTCGAACTGGACGGCACATTTTCTCGTTGGCTATCTGCAAAAAGCCTAGTGCAGTTAATTCGGTGCTCTTGTTGTTCATGTTTTCGTGTTCTTTATGTACTTCTACGCTCCCCTGGATTTTTTCTGCTGTATTTCTACTTTGATGTTGGTCTCTTGAAGCTGTTCCTTGTATTTCCTTTGCAATGTCCTCCATAGCTCTCAAAGCAGCAGTGCGATCCAACGGCTCTCGCTCGGTCGGACCAAATATTCTCGGAAAAAACCTTGGTAAAACACGTCCGAGCACTACATTTGCATCGGTGACAGCCAATAACCCGCCTCCTTTTCGATAACACACCGGTCCTGGGTGGGCTTTCGCGCTTTCGGGTCCTACATCCATGTTCTGATTGCGAAAAAACAGCCGGCTTCCTCCACCCGCCGCAACTGTGTTGATGTCCAACTGCGGTGCTTGTATGAGGCAACCGGCGATCTCGGTTTCAGTGACTTGGTCAAATCTACCAGCAGTTGGATCATATCGACTCACGTCGGTACTAGTACCTCCCATGTCGAAGCCGATGATTCCTAAGCTTGAATTAGACGCTGCAGCATTACATTCTTCAGAACACCCTTGACCCATTTTCCACCTGAAAAAAGGTCAAGGATGCAAGTGAAGAACGCAACTCGGAAAGCCTTAATTGATGAAGTGGTCACATTTAGTACATCCTTGTTGATTCCGTTCTTTTTTTCAACGTCCTCCTCCTCCTCTGCACCAAGCACAGGCGTGGTCCTCGAAAACCCAACACACCCACCCGCAGGCCCCGACAAAATGGCACGAAAGCCGGTGAAGGTGCTCGCAGATGTCAGCCCGCCGTCAGATTGCATGAAAAACAAACGGTTTCGAAAAAAATCCTGGAAGTCCTGGCTCTCGAGTGAAGAGCCTCCATATCCTCCTGACGTTCCTGATTTTCCATAGACGTAGCCTTCGAATCCTCTACAAAACTGGTCCAGATATTCCTGAATTTTCGGCGTCAGGTACGCGTCTACGACAGTCGTGTGGCCACGAGGCACAGCCTTTTTCGTGGGTACAAGTCTTGAGGATACAGACACATGTGGAAATTTTAGCACGTTTTCGCACAAGTCCGCAAGTTTTTCTTCGTGTCCTGGATACAAATAGGAATGCAACAGGTTGATGGCGACTGATGTTTGTGGATCTTGTTTCAGTAAAGCCTTCAAGGAGTTCGTCAACTCATCATGAGTCTCTGACAATGATAAAGCTTGACGAACCGCAAACGAAGTCCCGCCAGAAGACTCGCCTTGATGCTTGCAGCTCTTTGAAGCAGCTTCTCCCACTACGACACGTTCTTCTACGCCCAAAGCTAACTCGTACAGCAATTTCGGAGTACCTACTTAGAGCGACCGCGCTAGCATCTTCCCCGAGAGTTATACTCTTGGGTTCCTCTTTTTCAAGTAGAAAAAGAAGAACTACCAAGGATCGCCATGAGACTAAGGAGACATGCTTCAGCGGCAGCCCTAACGTACTTCGATATCAAAAATATCCGGTCGTGCTTGATTTCCTATCCGTAGCATGTCCTCATGGCCTTTTGTGGCTAGATAAACGACCCTAGCTCCTTCTCGTTCCAGCAGAGCGTTCGTCGCCACGGTTGTTCCCATCCGCACGGAACGGATAGAGTTAGAGGGGTCGTTCCCACATTTTTGCACTCTTAAGAACATCAACATCCCTGTGTGTTCCAAAACATTCCTGTTCCAGCTTTCTGACTGGGAAAAGAGAAAGTAGGGTCAAGGTTGCTCGTGCAGGAGCAGGATGTAAAATTCTGGAGACCTCCCTTAATATAACGACACGGGATAAGTTTGCCGCGAGGTAGTCCATTGTTGGCGAATTCTGGTGCGAATTTTTCCAGTGTGCGACGTATGCCCTCTCTCGGCGCATCTTCGTAGTTGCCGGGATCGACTAGCAATGAAGCTGTGGAACATCACGTTCTCTGTTGAGTGAATAATGGACGCCGTTTCTCCCGTTCTCTGGTTGATCAAGGAAGAGAGATGTCAGAACAATGAAGATCATGACAACTTTACTTTAGAAGGCCATAATGACAAAAGCTTCAAAGTCGTAGTGAACGAAGTCCCGCGTTTTTCTCCATGATTTTCATGGACAACGATAGAGAAGTCCGTGAATGTTCCCCCTCTGTCGATGAAGAACGAAAACTCACGGATAGGAACGCTGGTCATGGTTTTTTCTCGAACAAGCATGCTCTTTGGTGCTACTTTCATTTGAAACAGAAGTTAATATCGATAAACAGTTCTAGAAATCAAATGCCTAAGGAACTGATAACGTAGAGATCGAATGACGCTAAGGACTGAAGAGAGTGTGTATAGGGCTTACGACAATTTTTTTCCTATCTCCGAACATCCACCCACGAGGGAGGCACTGCAGTGCCGCGCAGGCTCGGCGCGACTTCCACGCCAGTAGACGAATGTAGATTCTTGTTGTAGAGTTTTGTTAATTTCTTGGCCTTTTTCAGGCACGCAACATTGATTCTATCTTGTCGCTATTCATGATGAATGATAAATGTCTCAAAAAAAAACCTACTGGTCGTCGTACCTCGTAATGGGTCAATCGTTATGATACGCTGGCTGTCTAATACAAGTCTACGACTACGTGGTATTCCTCCTATTGACAAACCTGTGCCAGATTCTAGAAGCTTGGGGAAATACTAGAAGAAGCTTTAGTTTCTTCTTTTCAGATGGAAAAACTGAATACGCAAACGAGTTGAAGTTATCTTTGCCTGAAGATGTAATGTTAAGGTCTAAGCTATTGCTGCCTGATGTAATCATGTGGTTCTGAAATGGACTACAATAATTTGATTATATACGAAGTAGATCAAAATTCAGGCGATCTTAATGAATTTAGCAGAATTGGTTGTTTTTCGAACGAGACGTCCTCGGACAACTACTTTTAACCATACATGATGAAAATTCGAAGTGTCCCCACAAAAAAGGTCCTATCAAGTACTAACGATGACAAACTGTAGACATAATCCCCTTGAGACAGACCTATAGCAGCCCCCTCCCTCCTACCTATAGTAGTGGTGGGGCCATCTTCCTGATTGTTTAGTCTTTCAATGTCCCGCAAAACGCAGAGCGAGGTGCACATCAGCTTCCACTACGTCGCCACTTACTCCATTTAGCGCAGAGTCGCCGTCGATGAGTACGTCTCCCAGATAAGCCGCTGGATCCAAGGGGTCAGTTATGGAACTGCTTCCAGCTCTCCTAATATGCAGCACAAGATGTTCCGCTTTTGTCCTCGCGGTGTCTTCGAAGAGCAGTAGGGCCTCGTAAACCGTAGCGAACGGCGAAATCTGCACCGTCTGGGTAGAAGTGTCTCTGGCGCAATTATTAGAAGTAACTAATCGAATAGGCATGTTTCTGCTGTCTTTATTTTCCATTACAGTTGCTAAACTCGAGAAGTGTGTATAGATGCCAATGCCTTATGGTTAACAATTTAATGGTTACCTAATGTTGGTTACCTAGGAACGGACTAGGTATGTTTCTGCTGTCTTTTTCCATTATGGTTACTAAACTCGACATAATTTTTAAAGACATGATCCAGAAGAGATTTTTCTAAAGTCTCCATGTCAGAAGGGCTGAAGTAAGGGAGAGGATAACAGCACCACCAAATCGACATGGCCATTTCCGCGATTTCCATGTACTTACTAAGAGCCTACTCGAAAAACTGAAATAACCGACTTACTGACTGAAATAAGGGGCGTAGCTTAACGTCAAGGCTGCTCTTCCTTCTCATTAGTCTCTCGGCTATTCTGATCAGTTACTTGCTTATTTCAGTTTTTCGAATAAATACAATGACGAACAACTACTAACCCTATTTGTAAATGAAGGGCCTGTATATCATAACGCCACTGCCGCCCGAAAAGCGAAAGAGAGTACTGTGGACGTGCAATCGAAAAGCAGCCGGTAGTTCGCAAGATGAGCCTATCGTGGTTGTACTCAATGACGACGGGAGTTGATGGTCCAACATAGAAGTTGCACCATTTCCCCCATGTAGTTGACTTCCTACTAAGTTTGTGCCGCCTGTTTTTAGCAGTTGCAAGTTGACCTATCATCTGGCTCGCTCGCGTGTCTAAATCTATCAATCCCTTTCCCCCTTGAAAAGCAGGCCACATGAGTGAGTGAATGAATGAATGTACCCACTCTAGGGGTTAAGATATGCTTGTAGAAGATAGGTCAACTTGCAAAACCTCAAACTTTCTCAAAATTCTTTCTGTTGACCATTTCGTAAAATCTGTTGAGCACTACTTCGCAAGAGTTCGACTTTCTCTCTCATCTTGGGCCTCACGTCCTCCACAAATCTGCCTACCTTGGAGCAGTCCTCCTTCTCGAGAATGCGAAGTAAAACGACGGATGTTTTGGGAGTAAACCGCAGCGTTCTCAAGGTGACTGCATCGTCAGTCAAGCAGTGAGACTCGAACATGAGAAGCTCCATAGAGACCGGGGCCTGGAGTATGTTGAGCAAGGGTTTGCTCCTTTGACAGACATGGAAGAAGTTCGTTTTAGTGCAAACTAGATATAAATCCTAGATATAGATCCTAGATATAAATCCTAGATATAGATCCTAGATATAAATCCTAGATGTAGATCCTAGATATAGATCCTAGATATAGATCCTGTAGATATAGATCCTAGACATAGATCCTGTAGATATAGATCCTAGACATAGATCCTGTAGATATAGATCCTAGACTAGAGTCAAGAACAGTCATCAAACTTCGAAGTGTGATGTACGACCACTAGTACAACTAGTCACTAAACCTCCTAAACAACAGTGTCAAAAACTAGTAACTTGGTTTGCACCATATTACCTTCCCAGCCACCCGACTTCCTGCTCTTCCATAAGCATCGCAAGTAGTCTGCAGTAGCCCTCTGAGTTGCCCCACCGTCATATCATGACTTACAGTGATCTTTCTGGCGTGCTTGTGGCTACTTGTCGTTGCAAAGGAGTCAAGTAAACCAGCCCCAGCCGCTGTAGAAGAAGATGCAGAAGTTGTGGCTACTTTCTCGCGTTTTTTAGGAGAGCGACTTGCTACCCTGGCTATTTGGTCTGGGACAGACACAGTCGGCACTGGAACGAAGGAGGGCTGTGGGGACCGAGCTGTAGGATCTGATGTCAGACGAGTTGTAGTGGTCATTGTCGTGGTGGCAGCAGCGCGAATAGGAGAAGGAGATGTACCTAAGCTCTTGTCTGGAGGTGGATGTCCATGATCCATCATGACAGGTATAGGGAGATGACACGTAATACTAAAAGGCGTCCTCAAATCCAGAAAAAAGATCTCAATCGGTGCCGCTAGACCTATTGCCGTGTTAGCAGGATGCTCACGGACGCCCTCTTGCGGTTGTTCAGAAGTTTGTAGTTCTGTTGATGTTTTATTCCCAGCAAGGGCAGCGCCATCTACTTCTACCTTGTACTGCTCGAGCACCGTACTTGCGTCATTACTCCAAGCAGTGTTTTCACGCAGAAGATCGAAGTGTCGACCTAAGAACTTGTCACGGTAGACGTAATGGAGGCCTTGCTTCAGATCGCCTACTGTGGTATCTGCAAAAACTGCCATTTTGTAGACCTGGTGATTGGCAGGTGGATTGATTGATTGACATCCCTAGTAGTACTCCTAGTGGTTCCTTATAGACCCAGAAGGTCTGGTGATAGGGAGATGGAGAAAGTGGTTCCGTATAGACCTGGTGATTGGGAGGTAGAGAAAGTGGCTTCTTGTAGACCCGGTTTCTGGGGTGGGCGATGACGATGTTCTCAAGAGGATACTTTCTGCAATTGAAGCAACAGCAATCGTTTTCCAAATACTTATCGAAAAGCATCATGGAGAAAATTGAACAAGTCGCACGGCTCACACAATCTGAACCTGTGTGACATTCAAATCAACTACCTTCCCCTTCCTTAACGCCAGCGCGTCTGTAAATGGCAGATAGACGACTTCTCGACCTCTACTTAGTGGCTCGATAGCCATTAGGTATTTCCTGGCCAAAACGTCCCGTTCTTCCGCTGGCGTCTCGAAAGACGTACGGTCTAAGCCCTCTGGCGCGGTGTTGACGTAGTTCTTCACCGGTGTATAATTCGTGAAGGCAGGAGGTGCAGCGTAGGATTAGAATACCGGTAGAAGAAGTCATTATAGCAGTACACAGTGCTCGGAAAGAAGGCAACATCCAAACCACTGATCGCGAGGACTTGGGCTACTTGATGACGTTCCATTTCCAACCGATGACGCTCTTAGTCGATTCGGGTTGGACCTACGACTTCCCTGAATCTCCTTGCTCATAACTACCAAAGAACCCCTCCTTGTTTGCCGCACCACTTTTCGATGACGCAGCCTCTTTCGATGATGCAAAAGCATTACCGAACCAAAAACACTGCTGCCCAAAAAGTTCGGAATAAAGCTTCGCAGTCTTCGCCATCCTTCCTTTCCTGGCGGCACCCATCGACTTCGTGCCAGGTATAGGTTGTGGAAGGACTGAAGGGATTAGAAATCGAGAGTACCAGTCAACGTTTATGGATTGATATAGCATATGCGCGCTATAAACTTGTCTGTGTGCCTAAATGAAGTGATGCGGGAATATATTGCATGCACTCAAGAACCAGTCAACTTTACTTAGCACCACAGTCGTGAAACATAGAAGATGCAGGGAACAAATCGATTGGCACAATAACACATAGTACATGATAGAAGTACTTCCTGAAGAATATCTTCAGTCCGCTTTCTTAACAACGATCCTCCACCCTCAACTAGCCGCGCCAACTTTTTCCGCAGTCCTTTCTTCCTTTTCGCTAGATCCCTTGGGCCAAATTTCCGTCTTGATCTCAAAGGCGAAACAGCGTCAGCAGGAATGTCTCTAGTACTAGTTCCAAACATGACTGAGGTCCCACGTGTACCGCTGAAGTCGCTCCTGGCTGTACCTCTAGCACTGGCACAGGATCCGGCTGTGGAGGATGCATCGTCGTCGAAGAGAAGGTCACTGTTGCCGTACTTGCGCATCAGCAGTGTTTTTGGCTTAGACAAGGTTGGCACCAACGACCCATCTTTTTAAAACATCTTTTAGCTGTTCCTAGGAGGAGAGCAGCCTGAAATATAACGACGTTTCAAATGATGTTGGCTGGTTGAGTGACGACACCCAGCATAACTTGTGCACTTATCACAGCCCTCATCGCATCCCTCAGCCTCTGACGCTGTTCCTCCAGTTCTCGCATCTCCTTGACCTCTCCACGCAATGGACCCAAAGAAGTAAGAAGTTGCTCCTCGTCGTCGTATACACCTGTGACGTTACCGTTGCGGGAGGATGAAGAGGGGACGATCAAACTACTATGCGAGTTGATGACAACGATGAAGCAGGTGTAAAAACAAGTAACATAAACAACATGCTGTCCACTACTAAAATGTCCACTACTAAAATGTCCACTACTAATAAAATGTCCACTACTACTGAAATGTCCACTACTACTGAAATGTCCACTACTAAAATGTCCACTACTACTAAAATGTCCACTACTACTGAAATGTCCACTACTACTGAAATGTCCACTACTACTGAAATGTCCACTACTAAAATGTCCACTACTACTAAGTCCACTACTACTAAAATGTCCACTACTAAAATGTCCACTACTGAAATGTCCACTACTAAAATGTCCACTACTACTGAAATGTCCACTACTACTGAAATGTCCACTACTACTAAAATGTCCACTACTACTAAAATGTCCACTACTACTGAAATGTCCACTACTAAAATGTCCACTAATACTAAAATGTCTACTACTACTAAAATGTCCACTACTACTAAAATGTCCACTACTACTAAAATGTCCACTACTACTAAAATGTCCACTACTAAAATGTCCACTACTATTAAAATGTCCACTACTACTGAAATGTCCACTACTACTGAAATGTCCACTACTACTAAAATGTCCACTACTACTAAAATGTCCACTACTACTAAAATGTCCACTACTACTAAAATGTCCACTACTACTAAAATGTCCACTACTACTAAAATGTCCACTACTACTAAAATGTCCACTACTACTAAAATGTCCACTACTACTAAAATGTCCACTACTACTAAAATGTCCACTACTACTAAAATGTCCACTACTACTAAAATGTCCACTACTACTAAAATGTCCACTACTACTAAAATGTCCACTACTACTAAAATGTCCACTACTACTAAAATGTCCACTACTACTAAAATGTCCACTACTACTAAAATGTCCACTACTACTAAAATGTCCACTACTACTAAAATGTCCACTACTACTAAAATGTCCACTACTACTAAAATGTCCACTACTACTAAAATGTCCACTACTACTAAAATGTCCACTACTACTAAAATGTCCACTACTACTAAAATGTCCACTACTACTAAAATGTCCACTACTACTAAAATGTCCACTACTACTAAAATGTCCACTACTACTAAAATGTCCACTACTACTGAAATGTCCACTACTAAAATGTCCACTACTACTAAAATGTCCACTACTACTAAAATGTCCACTACTACTAAAATGTCCACTACTACTAAAATGTCCACTACTACTAAAATGTCCACTACTACTGAAATGTCCACTACTACTGAAATGACCACTACTAAAATGTCCACTACTACTAAAATGTCCACTACTACTAAAATGTCCACTACTACTAAAATGTCCACTACTACTAAAATGTCCACTACTACTAAAATGTCCACTACTACTAAAATGTCCACTACTACTAAAATGTCCACTACTACTAAAATGTCCACTACTACTAAAATGTCCACTACTACTAAAATGTCCACTACTACTAAAATGTCCACTACTAAAATGTCCACTACTACTAAAATGTCCACTACTACTAAAATGTCCACTACTACTAAAATGTCCACTACTACTGAAATGTCCACTACTAAAATGTCCACTACTACTAAAATGTCCACTACTACTAAAATGTCCACTACTACTAAAATGTCCACTACTACTAAAATGTCCACTACTACTAAAATGTCCACTACTACTAAAATGTCCACTACTACTAAAATGTCCACTACTACTAAAATGTCCACTACTACTAAAATGTCCACTACTACTAAAATGTCCACTACTACTAAAATGTCCACTACTACTAAAATGTCCACTACTACTAAAATGTCCACTACTACTAAAATGTCCACTACTACTGAAATGTCCACTACTACTGAAATGTCCACTACTACTGAAATGTCCACTACTAAAATGTCCACTACTACTAAAATGTCCACTACTACTAAAATGTCCACTACTACTAAAATGTCCACTACTACTAAAATGTCCACTACTACTAAAATGTCCACTACTACTAAAATGTCCACTACTACTAAAATGTCCACTACTACTAAAATGTCCACTACTACTAAAATGTCCACTACTACTAAAATGTCCACTACTACTAAAATGTCCACTACTACTAAAATGTCCACTACTACTAAAATGTCCACTACTACTAAAATGTCCACTACTACTAAAATGTCCACTACTACTGAAATGTCCACTACTACTGAAATGTCCACTACTAAAATGTCCACTACTACTAAAATGTCCACTACTACTAAAATGTCCACTACTACTAAAATGTCCACTACTACTAAAATGTCCACTACTACTAAAATGTCCACTACTACTAAAATGTCCACTACTACTAAAATGTCCACTACTACTAAAATGTCCACTACTACTAAAATGTCCACTACTACTAAAATGTCCACTACTAAAATGTCCACTACTACTAAAATGTCCACTACTACTAAAATGTCCACTACTACTAAAATGTCCACTACTACTAAAATGTCCACTACTACTGAAATGTCCACTACTACTGAAATGTCCACTACTACTGAAATGTCCACTACTATTAAAATGTCCACTACTACTAAAATGTCCACTACTAAAATGTCCACTAATACTAAAATGTCTACTACTACTAAAATGTCCACCACTACTAAAATGTCCACTACTACTAAAATGTCCACTACTACTAAAATGTCCACTACTACTGAAATGTCCACTACTACTAAAATGTCCACTACTACTGAAATGTCCACTACTACTGAAATGTCCACTACTACTGAAATGTCCACTACTATTAAAATGTCCACTACTACTAAAATGTCCACTACTAAAATGTCCACTAATACTAAAATGTCTACTACTACTAAAATGTCCACTACTACTAAAATGTCCACTACTACTAAAATGTCCACTACTACTAAAATGTCCACTACTAAAATGTCCACTACTATTAAAATGTCCACTACTACTGAAATGTCCACTACTACTGAAATGTCCACTAATACTAAAATGTCCACTAATACTAAAATGTCCACTAATACTAAAATGTCCACTACTCGTCTAGGACTACTACATCAAGACCAACACCCACACAGTCGAAGTTCATGAATCATAACAACCTCTCTCTCGCCAACCGAATTTCCTCGTCTGCTGTTCTCAGAAGTTCTTCCTCGTGTGCCGCGAGGTCTCCATCAGATAGGTTCAACCTTAACCGCATTTGCTGTATCAATTCATCCACAGAGCAACGCATTGGATGCCTATTAGAGGCGATTCTACGACCTAAGGAGAAACATCTTGGAGGTAGTTTATCCGACAGCCCTTTTTAAGTACAAGTAGGTAGGTAAAAACAGTAGTAAGTAGTGGTAGAAGTAGAGTAAGTAGAGTAGAAGTAGCCCTTAGTAAGTAATGGTAGAAGTTAGTAGAGTAAGTAGTAGTAGAGTAAGTAGTAGTGGAAAACATCTTGCAGCCCTTTTCAAGTAGAAAAAGGCTACACCCCTTTTTAAGGAGAAACGTCTTGCTTCAGCTCTACTATTTAAGTAGCATATTATATAAAGTAGTTCCCTACGAGATGTCCTTGATCCTATGATGAAAAGGCTATCGAAAGGTGTTCGTGTTATTATATCAAAAGATCATCTTTTAAAGATGTTCATGTTGCTTTTCCCCTAACTTTATCAAGAATTTTCCGCACCTCTTCTAGAGCGATTTCACGCGGCGTAGAACGGAGATCGGGCAGAAGGTGAAAGAAGAGGGAGGGGGCAATGTCTAGTATGCTTTCTAATCAAGAGTTGGGAAGCAACCTAGTACGAGGAGGCAACGAATGGAGAAGTGCTCCGTGCACTATGCATCTTAATAATGAAGATGGAGCACGAATCTAAAGACAAAGACGCGAGTATGTCACATTCATCTTTAGGATGGCACGACAATAGTGTAGTTGGAGACCATAAACATTGGCGTAGTCACCTCTGGCAGTTTTTCGTTTTTCAGGTCGTTCCATTCCATGCACACTAGGTGGCCCACTGAACGTGACTAGATTTTGCTTGTCCTTCTTTAGAACTTGAACTACTTGAGAAGCATGTCCTTGGCCTTGGGTGCTTCTTTTTCAAGTAAATGCTGTATGTGTTAAAAGCACTGCTCCCTTTGTTGTCTTTGATATGAAAAAGAGCCACGGAATAAATGCTGCCAAAGAAAATCAAAATGCTGAGAGTGGATGCTTCAGCGGTAGCCTTACCTTCTGTGGTTGGAGTGATTTCACACTAGTTGCATCGCCTTTCTCCTCAAGGAGTCTTTCTTTATCTGTTTTCTCTCGTGGAGGAACTTCCTCTGTGCTAGCTTCTGCTGCTTCGCCTTCATTTTTAGAGCTCGAAGTAGTAATTTATATCTTTCTTTTAGGGCCATACACTTCCACATCCACTTGTACCTCCCTTAAAAATAAAAATTTACATATAAGGAGGTAACAAGAAGTAGTCGCATGTATGCATGCTGTGTATGTCCATGTTGCCATCGTTCTGCCGTGGTCGCATGTGAAGATGTAGAACGTATGACAAGGATAATCTCCTGCGAAGTAAGATGAAGTCAACTGTGGAGACGGAGTCAACTGTGAAGATGAGCCTTAACTGCAGCGGGAGCACCTTCCTCCCTTTTGGGCAATACGCCGCCTTCATCCGGCTTATCAGCAGCTTCTTCCGGTTGAGCAGCGTCATCTACTTTGTCTTTAGAAGTTGTATTGTCCTCCGCGCCTTTTGAGGTACTGGCCTCCTGCTCTCCTACATCAGCCACACCATCTGCCTCATGGTTAGAGCTCAGAAAGAGACTCCAAAACCAAATGGAAATGATCCTCCTCCAGGTTTTCTTTCTCTACTTTGTATATGTTTACCTTGCAGAGTAGAGAGAGCCGCTCGGCAACTATAGTAGTTTCACTGTCACATCATTCATTGCTCATCATGTCGTATGATCAGTCATGATAAACTTAGTTTTTCTTCATATTACTCATCATGATGAGCCTTAATACCGTTAGCTTCATCCCTGTTCTTCCTTCATACCGTTATGACTATGAATGTCCTCTTAATACCGTGAGCTTCGCTGTTCTGCTCCTCCTTCTTGTTGTGCGCGTCAGCATCTAAAGTACCTTCAGCAGACCTGTTCCCGCCACCCTGGACGTCAGTTTGACTTTTGTTCTTGCCGCTCGTTGCTGAGCCAGATGCGGAAGAAGAGCCAGAGCTACTACTGCCAGATGCGGAAGAAGAGCCAGATGACGAGCAACTAGAAGAAAACTGCTGGGAAGACCGCGAGCCCCCGGTGGCTAGTGAAGCCGGTGGCTAATATGAGTGAAACAAAAGCTTCCGAATCAGATTCGTCCCGGATAAAAATGACCAGTCTGCAAGCTGGCTATAATGCAGAAGAGTAGAAGAGAGGGCCGGGAGCTCCAAGGCCCCAAACAACTACAACACCCAACCCCACGCCCAACAAGATGCACCACGCGCCAGAGATATACTATAACTAAGCGGGCGACACGGACACATAGCGCGAGGGAAACGATCGACACCAACCACAAGCTGCAAAATACACGCTGCGCACGGGTCCGCCCGCAGAGATCGCCACGGAGTAGAACACTAAGGCACGACGAAGAGCGCCATCCGCGCCGCCATCTTCTACTGTTCACGCCTTCAGCCGATTGCTTTGTCGTCTCCTCGCTCTGTGATGTGTTTTGCGCGAGGCTCCTCGCGGCTTGTGCCTTAGGCTGATTGCTTTGCCATCTCCTCTGTGAGGTGTTTGGCGCAATGCTCTTTGCGGTTCGTGCCTTAGGCTGGTTGCTTTGCCGTCTCCTCTGTGAGGTGTTTGGCGCA